CCATGTTAAAATTTTACAGCAGAAAAAAATATGTATACAGCCTGGTACAAAAAGTGGTTTTGGTCTATATAGCTAATTTTTCCTTTCATGACAGCTGTGAGGGGGGTGAATTTTTTTATAACTCATCTGTTTAAAATCTATAAAGCCTTAAAGTTCTGCATAATTAAGGCCGTGGCAACTTGAGTGACAGGTGGATTGCAGCTGTTGTCACCACTAGCCGTTTGTCTGCTGTCTGTTAGCAGTCACATCACCTCAGCTAATTCCAGCTGCTGATCTTGGCATCTCTACCGTGTTGGTGCTTTTTTCGGGATTATTTCATACAATTATCAAATAATATGGCTTGCTGTGCAGTTAATTGTACTAACAGACCGTCCAAGAAGTCTGGGCTCCATTTTTTCCGGTGAATTAAATTCTAATATAATTAAATTTATTCATTTATTTAAAATAATTTATTTATTATTTATAATTTTATTTAAAACTTGACTACACTCCAGAATCCGACAGACGGTGATTAGCTGTAGTCTGAAACCATAGACTGTATAAAAAAGTAGCATACAGCATTAGCTTCTTAGCCTGAGCTAACTTGATCACGTTGAGCTAGGCGGGTGTGGTTTCAGCAACCAGGCACCTCAGCTCCACCCACGTCCTGCCGCTTTGCCTATTTTCGATTATCCGGGAGTGACGTGCTGCCAAGATGGCGACAGCCGGCTCCACCCACTTTGGGTTTCAAAAATGCTCTTTAGAAACCTACGGGTGACGTCACGGACACTACGTCCATTGTTTTATACAGTCTATGTTTTTTTTTTTTTACAAGCACACTTACAACTGGACAAAGGAAATAAGAAAAGCTTGACATAGAAACCAGCTGTATACCTGTAATCTTAACGGACACTTCATAAGAGGCCGTGCCAGCTTCATTGGAGATTTTGCACATATATGTTCCACTATCTGACAGCTGAGATTTTTTGATGCACAGGACAGCCAGGCTGGTCTTGAAGGTTACATCATAACAGTCAGAGGTGAAGATTTCCGTGCCATCTTTATACCAGTTGACAGTCAGGGGCTGTGATCCAGCTACACGACCCTCAATCTTCACTATTTTGCCCTCAGTGTCCTCAATAGTTGCTGAAGGTTTTTTGGTAAAACTAGGTGGAATTTTGCGTTCTATAGGAACAATAAAGAGAAGTGTTGTTAGACAGTACATACATGATAGAAAAAAAGAGGTTCTTTTACCTAAATGCATAGAGCAAAATGAAGAGCAAAAAAAAATATGCTCAACAGTGCCACCTGTTGACCTACTGCAAGCAAAGAAAAACATGAATGCAAAGGCATGACGAATGGAAGACAAAAACATAAAAGAAATAAAGCACCACAGGTCAGTCCCAAGACAATGAAGACACAGTCACACTGAAAAGCGGTGACCAAATACCTTTCACAGAAACGTCTGTAGAACAAGAGTCCTTCCCAATATCATTACTAGCATGGCAAGAATAACGACCAGAGTCTGCCTTATCAGCTTTCAAAATTGTCAAATGTGGAGTGTTATCCACACATGATATCTTATAATTGCCCCCTGTGCGGATGTCTTTGTGATCCTTGGACCAAGTAACTTTTATTGGCAATGATCCCGTCATGTGGCATTCCAGTTCGACAGTATCTCCCACTGTCACATCCACAGGTATGAGCTTTTTATCAAACACAGGTGGATATCTTGGCTCTGTAGAGTTAAATAGAGATAACAGCACAATTGTATAGACATGGTAATACATTCAATTCAGTGTGTTTCACAACACAGGAAACAAATGTAATCAGAGAACAATATGAAAGAAATAAACAGACCTTGAAGTGTGAGCTTGGCTCTACAAGAAGCAGTTCCAACACTATTAGTCGCAATGCAAGTGTATTCTCCAGAATGTCTCATTTCACCTTTGACTATATTTAGGACAGCAGAGTTATCGTCAAAAAACATTGTGTATTCTGAATCGCTCCTAAGAGCTTCACCATCTTTGAGCCAAGAGATCTCCATAGGAGAGGATCCTGCAACACGACACTCAAACTGGACAGGATGTCCTTCAATTTGCGTAATGCTAGTAATCTTTTTAGGGAAAGACGGTGGTGTTTTCACATCTGAAAAGAAAAACATTTAGCAAAATACATTGATAAAGGTTGCACAGTGCAATCAAAACATTTAAGACATTTAAGAGATAGATTCAGAGCTTTGAAGAGAAATTAGATTCACCTTGTACAGTTAAGAGGCACCTGGAAGAGGCAGATCCTATGCTGTTTTCTGCCTTACATGTGTATTCACCAATGTCAGATTTGGCAACTTTAGCTAGTTTCAGGCAGGCAGTGCCTTTGAAGAACTCCATCTTACAGGTTGGAGAAGACCGCACTTTGCCATCTGCCTTGAACCATGACACTTTAATTTCAGGAGTGCCACCAATCTGGCATTTCAGACAAACTGCATCCCCTGCAGTGACCTCCATGGGTTCCAAACTCTCAATAAAGATAGGTGGTTCTAAAAGAGACAAAATATATATACATACCATGAAGACAAGCATGCACATTTTGATTTTGTCTCACAGTAGCTTATATTGAGCAATTTTACTCAATAACAAACCTAAGATGGACACTGCTGCTTCACAAGTGTCGTGTCCAGCATCATTGGAAACCTCACAAGTGTATTTTCCAGCAGCCTCTTTATCACTGTTTAGACACTCGAGGATGCAGGAGCTCTCAGTGGTTGTGATGTTGTACTTGTAAGAGGAGTAAATCTCCTGGCCATCTTTATGCCATTTCACAAGAATCTTTGGGCTTCCCGCATACGTACATTCAAGTATCAGAGACTTGCCCATTTCAACAGACAGGTTCTTGAGCTTCTTGACAAAGTGTGCAGCCTCTGAATGAAAGATGGCATATATATGTGAGACACAAAGCTCCGCTTTAACAAGGATTCAAGAAATAGTTACTCATATTAACTAAATTAAAACTAACCTTTAACAAAAAGGTTCACTGTGCAGTTTTCCTTCCCTGCATCATTAATGATCTGGCAAGTGTACTCGCCAGCATGAGATTTATCAATGTTGTAGAGCTCCAGAATTGCATTATCTCCTCTTAAAGCAATCTCACAGCTTCTCCCAGACACTATTTCCTTACTGCCTCTAAACCATTTCAGTTTCATTGGGGTACTTCCTTGAACGGTTGCTGTAAAGGTGACATTTGTGCCTGGGAGGGCTTCCACCGGTTGAGGTGTGGTCACAAAAGAGGGGGGTTCTATAGCAAACACGACAGGAAGAAGGTTGTGAAACATGCCTTAACCACTAGATTTACAATTATTAATTGTGAATTATTCTACACCCAAACACCAACCTTTAACAACTAAGGAAGCGGATGTCTCTGCCGTTCCTGCACTGTTTACTGCTTTACATTTGTATGTGCCCGAGTCTGAAAGTTTCAGAGTTGGCACTTTCAATGTGCAGGTATTCTCAGCGAATGTAATCTCATAGTTCGGTCCACTTTTAATCTCCTCTTCATTATGGTACCAAGAGATGGTGAGAGGTGCAGACCCTGAGGCTTTGCAGTCCATTTCAACAGTTTTGCCAACAATATTCTGTGTGTCCTTCAGTTTTCGTGAGAACGAAGGAGGAACGATTTTGTCTGTTTGACCAAAAACAAGATTCTCAGCTTTTGGCTTCACAAGAAATTACATGTAATTCTAAGATTGGAACAAATATTATATACAAGGATATTTAACATTACTGACCCAAAACAGTGAGGTGCATTTTGCAGCTATCACTGCCAACTTCATTCTTGATTTCGAATGTGTATTCTCCAGTGTCACTTTTCTCTGTTGACAATAGCTTAAGACTGGAGATCATTTTTGAGAAGGTGATTTTGTATTTTCTGCCTGAAGACAACTCCACACCATCCTTGTACCATTTTGGTTTAAGTTCTGGAGTTCCAGATACAGTGCATTCTAAGACTGCAGTGTCACCAGCGGTTACACTGATTGACTCTGTCTTATCCACAATTGCTGCAGGTTCTAGAAATTTAGAAGTGTCTTTATGTTAATTTACATAATACATTTTTAAAAGAGATATATGCTTAAGGGGGGAAAACATTTTTTTTAGGACAGTTAGAAACTTACAAACCTAGGACAGTTAGGTTCGCTGTGCATTCAGCAACTCCAGCATCATTTTTGAGCTGACATGTATATTTTCCAGCAGTGGTAGAGTCAGCTTTAAAGATCTTCAGGGTGACCTGATTATTCTCAAATATAATTTTCCTGTTGTCACCATCTCTGAGAATGTGGTCTTTATCCTGAACCCAAGACACAGTCATAGGCTGCGAGCCTTTAACCGTTGCCAACAAAACCACTTCCTCACCAGAGATGGCTGTAATGTTGGATAATTTCTTCACAAACGCTGGTGGTTCTGAATGTCAGGAAGAGAGTCATCAGAAAGTCAGAAAGTGTTAAATCATTTTTTGGAAAAGTATTTGATACTTTTATTTGAACTAGTATCTTACTGACCTCTTAGCTTTACAGTGCCCTGGCAGGAATCACTTCCTACATTATTTGATGCTTTGCACTCATATTCCCCTGCATCTAATGCTTCCAGTCCAAGGATGTGGAGAGTTGCAGAGCATCCCTCAGACACAAATTTATACTTCCTACTCTCCTTTAACTGTTTTTTATCTTTAAACCAGGTTATCTCAAAGGGTGCTGAGCCTTTCAGCTCACAGTTAAGACTGGCATCTTTGCCCTTCAGCCCCTCAACTGGTGTTGGCACTTTGTGGAATGTTGGTGGTTCTACAAAAATGTAATTCAAATCAAAATGAGCATTTATGCATATTGCAATCAATGAATAAATCATTAAATCAATAAATCATATCCTCTGAAGAGGGTTATCATCAATAACTAAAACTATGAAACTGAAATAAAATAAATATTAGATGGAAAAAAACTAATTTGATTTTAACTGGCTTGGCAATGAACTGAAACAAGTTTAAATTGAAGCACTAAAATTACTAACGGGGAAAAAAACTAAAACTGAACCAAATAAAACTGAAATAGAAATAAGTAACAACTGAAAAAAAGCAAATTCATAATATTAATAGAAATTATAATAGTAAACAAATAATACTAAATAACACTGCTTCTGAAACATAGTCAATTAATGCTCATGTTGAAAAAGGCACAAGCATTAAACTAGTAAATGAGAGATCCATCCACTGTCTAACCTTTGACTGTGAGTGTGGTACTGCAACTCTTAGTTCCAGCATCATTCTGGACTTCACAGGTGTAGACTCCATTATCCTCAAAGCTGCACTTGAAAATTTCAAGGACTCCCACAGAGTTATCGAAAGTCATTCTCATGTTGCCACCATCGCTGAGTACAGCGTCATTTTTGTACCAGCTAATTTTCAGAGGAGCTGTGCCAGTAACTTTGCATTCAAGCTGGAGTCGCTCTCCCATCTTCATGATTTTTGCAGCTGGCAGTTTCTGTACAAACTCTGGAGGTTCTGTAAAACCAAAATTACAACATGTTATCATAATGATTAATGCAATATATAAAATGGAGCACTGAGGAAGAAGATGGCAGATGACAAGAGGCACATGATGGCTTAAAGAGAGTAAAGCGTAATGATGAACAGTAATGAAGTAAGATGATGATGAAAGGCAGGCAGACAATTTATGTAAGCAATACAAGAGCATGCAAATGGTGAAGCATGAAAAACAATGATCATGAAGAGCGCTGATAAGAGTACTTAAAAGATGTCCAACCTTTTACCAACAAGGTTGTGGTGCATTTAGCGGTACCAGCATCATTGCTTATTTGACAAGAGTAAGTTCCACTGTGTGATATTCCAACGGCAAAAATATCTAGGAAGCATGAGAGGCCTTCCAGGCCAGTAAAACATGAAGGTCCACAAATCAGCTCAGTGTCATCTTTGAACCATTTCACTGTGAAGGGAGATGTTCCCTTAAAGGTACTCTTAAACCGAACAGTGGTATTTGGTATGACAGCCTGTGATTCTGGAACCAGCACAAAGCTTGGTGGCTCTAAATCATTAATGGGAAAGAAAGACATATACATCTGTTAAGAAACTGGCAGCCATCAGAGACCTTAAGATATATGTGAGAATGAAATATGCTACTAAATACTACAAAAGCTATCTGACCTTTCACCCTCAGTGTACCACTGCATTCACAACCGCCTGCTTTGTTTGTAAGTTTACAAGTATACGTTCCAGTGTCGGCTTTCTCTAAACACTCGATTTCCAAAGACACGCTGTTGTCATCCTTAAGAAGTTTATGTTTGGTTCTTCCTGACAGTTTAGTCCCGTCCTTCATCCACTCCACAGTTATGGGGAGTGAGCCAGATATTTTACATCCAATTTGAATATTTGTGCCCAGAATTTCCTCCATCTCCATCAAAGGTTTAATGAAAGATGGGGGGATTATTTGCTCTGACAAAGACAAAGAAATGTGAAGATCATAAAAATCACTAAAATTCATCCAATACTAATTGTTTTATTAATCAAGAATAAGCACTAACCTAGCACGTTTAATGTCACTTTGCACTGGCAGACACTGATGTGGTTGGAAACCTCAAACACATAAGTTCCTTTGTCTTCCAACTGGACAGACTGAATTTTAAGTTGGCTGACATTATTGATGAAGCTTAGGCTGTGCTGTCTTGAAGGCATAACTTCATTGCCATCTTTAATCCATTTGACTTTCAGTTCAGGAGAGCCTGTAACTTTGCACTCAAAACTTACTGGATCTCCAGCAGTGACATTAATCATCTCTGGCTTTTCAATTATCTGAGGTGGCTCTGGGGATAATATAACAAACATATTTATAATAGCAAGTCTTTAGGAAGGACAGCTACAAAAAAAACACTTGCAAAAATAACTAACCTTGAACCACAAGGGTAGCAAAACACTTTTCTTGCCCTGCCTCATTCACAGCCTGACAGGTGTATCTTCCACTGTGGTTGGACTCACACACAGGGATTCTCAAAGTAGCAATACTGTTTAAAAATGTCCTCTCAATTGAAGGATCCTCCAAAATCCAGTTTTCATCTTTCTGCCATTGTATGGACAGAGGTGGTGAACCTCTTACAACACATTTAAATTCAACCTTTTTTCCAAGAACTGTGACAACATTCTCAATCCTCTCCACAAACGATGGGGGCTCTGATAGATAATGTGAAATGTTAAATAATATAAATAGAGATAAAATCATAAATATAAAATCTATTAAACATACTGAATGCTAACCTTTTATGCTGAGTGTAGTCTGACTTGAACAACTCCCAACTTCATTTGCTACAATGCACTGATATTCTCCAACATCTAAAGCATCACATTTCTGTACATCAAGAGTCATTATAGAACCATTCTTCTGCAAAATCACATGCTTGAGGCTTGATTTAATGTCCTTTGAATCTTTTTGCCAGGTCACCTCAAAAGGAGCTGTGCCTTTTACCTGACATTCAAAATATGCATTTGAGCCATTCACAACCTCAAGAGGACTCAATGGCTTGACAAGAACTGGGGGCTCTGAAAAAAGAAGAAAGCTTGAAATGAAAACAGTTTAAAATCTATGTTCTAGCCAGACATTTTTTGAGGAATCATATCAAATAACTTAAACGCCTATAAAATGCACTACATACTAACCTTTCACTCTTAGTTCCATACTACAGCTCTCACTGCCCGCCTCATTCCGGGCTTCACAGTAGTACACTCCACAGTCTTTGATATCACTGCTACTTATCTCAAGCCGTGCAAGAGAATTGACAAAAGTCATTTTATGCTTGTCACTTGGACTTATTTCATTCCCATCTCTGAACCAGTATGTGTCTATCTCTGGAGTGCCTGTAATCTGGCATTCAAAAACTACCAATTGGCCTGGTTTTACCACTGTTACTTTTTCAGGTTTGCGGGTAAATTTGGGGGGTTCTGTAAAATTAAAAAGAAAGAAAGAAAGTACTTATTTTAAGCATTTAACAAAGGTTTAGGGGGGAAAGTAGTTATAAATGATTTTTGTGAAAACCTTTCACGAGGAGTGTTGCTTGGCAAGCATCTGATCCAACATCATTACTTATTTCACAGACATAGTCTCCAGAGTCGGAAGGCTTAGCGAAAAAGAGCTCCAGTAAGCTAAAGGTGTCATTTTTCTGAACAGAACAGTCAATCCCAGATGAAACCTCTTTCTTATCTTTAAACCACTTAATGGTCAGTGGTGGCGTGCCAGACACAAGCACATTAAACTGCACTCTGGATCCTGGTATAACGTCTTGTGATTCAGGCTTCTCAATGATTGCTGGAGGTTCTGAATATAAAAGGAAGATTTAAGATTAAAGTTTAAATTAAGTTAAAACTCACTGAAAGGCACAGCATGAAACAATAAGATGATGTAACAAGATATAAAATACAGTTTGCAACTTTACAAACGAACAAATTCAATTGTTATTTATAAAAGCCAACGGTAATCGCAAACCTTTGATCTTCAGCGTGCCCGAACACTGAACAGTGCCTGCTTGGTTTTTAGCAATACAGGTGTAGTTGCCACTGTCTGAGCTATCAAGATGACTGATTTCCAAAGATGCCGCACTCTCAAAGAATATGCATTTGTGCTTCTCATCTGTCTCGATCTCCTTATTTTCCTTGAACCAAGTAACAGTTATGGGAAGAGATCCAGAGACCAGACATTCCAACTGTGCAAAAGATCCTTTTATACTCTCCATGTCCTTCAATTTTCTTGTGAAGGAAGGTTTGAATATTTGATCTGTTACAGTGAAGGGAAAATATAACAGCTTCAATCTGAGTGTTGATCTAAAAAGTCAAATTCCTACAAATCTATAAATGGCTATTTTTTTCTACCATACTAACCTAAAACAGTCACAACTGCCTCACAACTGCTTCTTCCAGCATCATTTGAAATCTCAAAGATATATTCTCCACCATCACTTTTTTCAGCAGAAAGAATTTTTAATATGGAGCTTGTATCGGTGCTCTGTACTTTGTATTTTTTGCTTGATGTCAGCTCTTTGCCATCCTTTAGCCATTTTGCTTTAAGAACTTTAGAACCAGAGTATCTGCATTCTAGAGTGGCAGGATCACCTACTGTAACACTGATGGACTTGGCTTGCTCTGTGATGTTTGCAGGCTCTGTGTATAGTAGAACATGTATGAATACATGCAAATAGGACTAAATCAAAAATAGCAATATTTAGCTATAACATAACTAAAGAATAACGTGAAAATCTGATGATCAGAAACTGTGTAAAACGTTAGTGAGGGGGAAAAAACTATATTATAAATATGTAAATTAGCATAAAAAATTACTACACACCTTTTACCGCCAATACTGCTGTACATTTCTGACTACCAGCTTCATTCTGTGCATGGCAAGTGTACTTTCCACCATGTTTTAACTGCACACTAGAAATGTATACCACTGCTGTCTGGTTCTCAAAAGATATCAGAACATGCTCAGATTCCTTGATCTCATGGTCATCTTTCATCCAAGAGACGGTCATAGGCAATGACCCTTTCAAAACACACTGCAAGGAAACCTCACCACCAAGCAGGACATTTGTATTATCCAACTTCTGCACAAATGATGGTGGCTCTAATTGAAGAATATAAAATGTAGGCATGTTGTTAGCACAATGTTTACGAACATCACTGTACCTTCACTTACATATACACAAATCCAAGAATTTCTTCTTCTTACTAACCTTTCAGAGTAACATGAAAATCACAGGAGGTCTGCCCTACTTCATTTCCTACAGTGCACTGATATTTGCCAGCATCCCCAGGTTCAAATTTCAAAATCTGAAGAGCTGCTACATCCTTTGTCAGGCTTATGATGTGTCTTCTATCATTTCTGATCTGCTTTGAGTCTTTGAAACAGGAAATCTCAAAGGGAGCTGAGCCTGACACTGTTCCTTCCAGTGCAACATCTGTGCCTTTAACAATTTCTTTGGATTCAAAAGGTTTCACAAATTCGGGAGGTTCTGAGATAAGAAAGCACCAATTAGCTAATGAAGTAACCACCATGAAATGACTTTAACATCCTTAAAAATTAAGGTGATCAACTTCAAACAAACCTTTGACTGTAACCAAGCAACTGCATCTATCGCTGCCAGCTTCACTTGATGCTTGGCAGATATAATCTCCACTGTCTTCAACACAGCAATTGGAAATTTGTAGTGTAGCAACTGAGTCGATGAAGGTCATTTGGTATTTATCATTTGAGCTAATTTCAGTTTCATTTTTATACCATCTAATAGTGATCTCTGGGCTGCCAGTGACTTTACATTCCAAAGTTGCAAGACTCCCATTCAATGCTAGTTTAGTCGAGTCAAGTTTCATTACAAATTTTGGAGGTTCTAAAAAAAGAGAATAACACATTAAGATGAATTAACTGAAGAATTATTCAGTAAAAAATAATGGAAAAACAATTCATCAAGAGTAAGAAAAAGCACCTTTCACAAATAAGGCAGCTGTGCATGAGACCTTTCCAGCATCATTGGAAACTTGGCATGTGTATTTTGCAGACTGAGATGGCTTCACAGAGTGCAGCTCCAGTGAACTTGAGTTGGCTTCTTTCTTGATGAAGCAAGTTCCTCCAGTTAACATTTCTTTGTCTTCTCTGAACCACTTAATAATAAAAGGTGCTGTCCCAGTGAATGCAGCTGTTAGGACAACTGTAGTTCCTGGTATAACATCTTGGTTTTGAGGTTTCAAAGAGAAGACTGGGGGTTCTAAAGTTAGTTTGAAGAGGGAAGAGATTATTTTAACAACCATATACAAAACAATCATTTTCAATCGATAAGATATGATTGATTATTCTAACCTTTAACAGAAACAGTTCCACTTGTTTCACTGTGTCCTGCAGCATTAGTTGCATGGCAGGTGAAAACCCCAGCATCTGATGTCTCTAAATCAGTTATTTTCAGTATTGCAGTGCTTTCCTGCATTTCTGTTTTATATTTTGTTCCAGTTGTAATGTCCTTTCCTTCTTTGAACCAAGATATCGTTATAGGTTGGGATCCTGACACTTTGCATTCCAACTGAATAGTACCTCCAACATTACCATCTACCTTCTTAAGTGTTTTTGTGAAAGTTGGGGGTATTATTTTATCTGCTCAACAGAAGTAAAACACCATTGTAAAAAACATATATATGCACACACACACAAAAACGCAAAATGAAAGATTATTTTAAAAGAATAGCACTAACCAAGAATAACAATCGAGCAAGAGCATTGCTCTTTTCCAACCCGATTAGAAACTTCAACTTTGTATTCACAGCTATCTCCCCTCTCTGCTGAGAGGATTTTCAAGGCTGCCACATTATCTTTGAAAGAGATTTTGCATTTTCGACTTCCTGTAATCTCTTTGCCATCTCTGAACCATTTTACTTTGAGATCTGGACTCCCTGAAACTTTGCACTCGAGAGTTGCAGAGTCACCTGCAGTCACACTGATGGATGGCGGTTTCTCAACAAATCTAGCTGGTTCTTTAACAAAAATTAAATAAATCAATGAATAAATCAATGATAACAATAAAAGTGTTACAAAATACAATGTTGAATATAGTGATATGCTTCATATGTTTAATTCTAACCTTGAACTGATACAGTGGCCTCGCATTTTTGTTTTCCAGCCTCATTTTCAGCTTGACAAGTATATTTACCCCCATGGTTATTGGCCACATTTGCTATTGCCAGAATAGCAATGTTGTTTTCAAACGTCGTGGTAATATTAGGATCATCATCTCTGACTATCTCAGAATCTTTAAACCACTGAACTGTGATAGGAGCAGAACCCTTCAGAGTTCCCTGCAGTTTCACAGCACTGCCTAAAACTGCAGTGGTGTTCTCAACTTTCTTTACAAACAATGGAGGGTCTGCATGAAAAAAAGCCATATTAATTTTCACATTTAATAAAATGTTAACAAAAAAAAAATGTTTAGGTCATTGAAATTGATTGTACCAACCTTTCAATTTTGCCACTGCTTTTGAAGTTATTCTGCCAACGTCATTAGAAATGCAACACTGGTAATCTCCAACATCTGCACTTTCAAATGATTTGATTTCCAAATATGCAACAGTCTCTTTTGAGACAATACTATACTTCTTGTCAGAGGATACTGGGTTTTTATTCTTAAACCAGGTCACCTCAAATGGAGCAGTGCCTGTAACTTCACATTCCAGCTGGGCTGTGCTCCCCTTGACTACCTCCACCATTTGCAACTCCTTTTTAAATGCAGGAGGTTCTAAGAACAATAAGAGCAATAAGATTTAAGATGATTCTTCTATCGCAATGTAATGAGCAATAAATCAGAACGTAAGAATCTTGAGTATTACCTTTTACAGTTACTTGAGAGGTGCAGCTTTCACAGCCAGCCTCATTCATCACTTCACAAGTGTAATTTCCACTGTCAGACTCAGATAAGTTAATAATCTCAAGAGTGGCTTGGCCAGCTTTGAAAGTTATTTTGTGTTTTTCAGAGGAACTAAGTGGTTTGTCGTTCGAAAACCAAGTCACGTGCAGTTCAGCTGATCCTTTGACAGTACACAACAGACGTGATGACATTCCTTGTTTCCATAAGATCTTAGGCTCCAGCCTTTTAACAAAGACTGGAGGTTCTAAGGGTTCAAATGCAATGGAGGAAAAAAGATTTTTGATTTGTTTGCAAGAAAAAGACATGTTAAGAAAAAGACAGCTTAATATAAATAAGGGACATGTGAAGGAGCACAGTAAAAATAAACTGCAATACTTTCTATGGCAAATAAGAGCAGCATCAACTGATGCTTAAGCTTTGTAAACTCTGTCTAAGAAATGCAAATGTACACTGACAGAAATTAATACCCTGACATGCAGATTTGTTTCAAATACTGCATTAACAAAGGGTATTAATCTCAAAGTCTTACCTTGCACTGTCACACTAGAAGAGCAACTGCTGCTTCCTGCGTCATTGGCAGCAGTACAGGTATATGAACCTGTATCTTTGAGTTTAGCCTTTTGAATATCAAGACAGGCTATTTTTTCCTCGAAAGCGAGTTTACAGTCCATTGTAGTATGGAGTTTCTTGCCATCTCTCATCCAGGTGATGGAAACCCCATTGTCTTCATCTACCTGACACTCAAGACGTAGTGGGTTTCCCACAGCAATAGTGGTTGCCTCAAAGCTCTTCACAAAGTTGGGTTTGTCTACAACCCTCAGTTCAGCACAGCATGTAGCTGTACCAACACTGTTTGAAGCTTTGCAAAGATATGATCCCTGATCACTTTGTTGTAAATTCAAGATTTCAAGAAAATACTTGTTCTTGTCAGATGACGCTTTGCAGTGATCATCAAATGAAATGGCAATATTGTCTTTGTGCCAGACAACATTCATTGGTTCAGAACCAGAAATAACACATTGAAATTTTGCTTGCTTTCCCACAAATAAAGTCATCGAATCAGGCTTTGATACAAATTCTGGAGGGAACATTTCTATAAAAAGAAGATTTCAACAAATAGAAATAAATAACTTTATCAACAAAGTATCAAACACAAAGCATGTCAACTCCAGAGAAAAGTCAAGACGACAAATGGACAATAAGAAAGGTATATTTTTCTTACCTGTCACACTTAGTTTAGCAGAGCAGCTGTCACTTCCATGGCGGTTTGAAGCTTTGCAGGTAAATTCTCCACTATCAGCGACTGTTGGGCTAAATAGCTCCAGAGATGAGGTGTGAAGACGACTGATAATCCTGCATTTGTCACTATGTCTGAGCTCAGAACCAGACTTCAACCACTTGAAGGTCACACCTGGAGCCTCCTCAATCTCACATTCGAACTTTGCAGGACTGCCAACACTGACCTCCAGATTTTTAATTTTGTGCCTGAAAACAGGTGGCACTGAATCGTGCACACAGACAAAAAGCAAATTAGTACATTATATTTAACATGTTTGCTGACAAGTAATGAGTATGAGCATGAAAAGCAGAAACCACCGATTGGCACTTTCAAAAACCTGAAATGTTCTACAAAAACAATTAGTACAAAGTTTAGCAGCTTAAGCGGCTAAATGTAACTATTCACCTTAACCATCTTTAATTTTTACAGATATGGTATTTTCAAAAAGTGCCAATTTCTGTGGTCACTGTAATGGAACAGTAAGAAAATAAAAATTCAAGAGTGACTGTGAAGAGTAATGGTGATCTCGCTATGAGGGAGGAAAAAACATTGAATAAAGAGTGAAATAATGACTTGACATCCTGGCATGCATGCAAAAAAAAAGATCAATTATGAGGTGCTCAATGACTGATGAAGAAAACAACAATGGAGTATTTCATAACCAATTCCCAGAGATGAATAAAATAAAAAGTGGAAAATACTGCAGGAGTGAAGGAGGAGATGAACGTTGGAATGACACTGAGAGATCCAGCAGGTTAAGGGTTGATGTGAAGAAGTGAAGACATGCTAACATTTTCAGTGATGTGAAAATGGTGGCAAAATCACAGAATTGTGAAGATGGTAAGAGAGGAAGACATTACGAAGGTATCTTCATATGAAATACATAGATCTTTTCTATTAGTTGGTGTGGAGATATTGAGAAAGCATGTCTGATGAAGCGTGTCTATTTTAGCTATAAACGGCAAGAGTTAGTCATGTGAGATGGGATGGCAAAATAATTCCCATAAATCCAACCTCTTGAGACCACAGTGATGTGAGAGGATGTTGAGGTCTTGCCGGCATCACCTACAGCCTCACAGGTATATTCTCCTTGATGATCCTTCGTAACCTTGCTGATTACTAGTGTGTAAGTGTCGTGGTCTTTGGAACACTTGAACTCTTTGCCAGATTTAATTGATTTTCCATTAAAAAGCCAATTTACTTTCGTTACATGTCTAATAGTCAATGAGAATTTTGCCTCTGAATGTTCATCTATTTCAATATCCTCCAAGGAGCTTTCAAAAACTGGGTAAGCCTTCTCTCTAATTTCTTCTTTCTCTAATTTCATAAATGCTTCGGTTATATATTCCTCCCTTTCCTCTCTCTGAAAGACGACTTCAGTTGACCGCTCGATAGGAACAGGCCCCAAAACAAGTTCAGTTGTCATACCTTCTGCCCTTACATCCTTCTCAAGTTCTTTTACTGACACAGATCTGGTTTCTTGTCGCTCAACATGGATGGACTGCTGAATCTCAATTTTTGATTCACTTGCCATTTGAATTGTTGACTGTTGCACAAAAGCTTGCTCTTTAGCTGTTACGGACTGAAAAGAGACTTTCGCGTCAGTTTTCACAGTTGCAGACTGAGACATTGGTGATGTAAAAGGCTCTACATTTTCTGTCAATCTTACCATCTCTACCACAGGTGAAAGCATTTCTTTTGTAGAAGCCTTGGTAACCTGTAATCTTTGGGGCCTGTCAATTTGCATTGTGCCTGGCTGCTCTGAGATCATAACCTGTTGCTCTCGATAGACAATGGAGTAGAAAGCAGCTTTAAGTTCACTTCTGAGATCAGCAGTCTGGGGGTACTCGCCTTCAAAAGCAATTGTAATTTCAAGTGGGGCACTTGCACTTGTAATAAGATATGTGAACATGACATATTTGGGTTCTTTCCTTTCTTTTACCTCATGAATTTCTACAGCTCCTAGACTCTCAACTACATCTGCCAGGATCAATGGTTGGTCAAGAGCAACAGCAGCTGCAAGAGCACTTTTTAATTGGTGCTTAATGTCCAATGAATGCGGTTTTGGAGGCGAAATAACAAAAGTGAGCTCTTTGGGTAGAGTTTGGCTCTCTCTTGACTCTGACACTAAAAGAGTACCCATCTTCTGCTTACTGACAACTGCTGTGGATGTTTCAGATTGTGTAATATCCTGAGATAGCTCACCTTTGATTAGACGCTTTTCTTCCATTAATACTGACTGTCTAACAGACTGTCCTTCTTGAATTTGAACGGCGAAATCTTGTTCGGTGGCATCAAGAGCAATGCTACTCTCTGTCGAGATAGCCTTTTCTTCAACATAAATTAATTCAGATGGAATTTTGGGTTCAACTTCGCTTTTAGACACACATTTCTCAATTGTTCCTATATTCTCTGTGTGCCCCTCCTCTATATCCTGACTCTCTGACACAGATGGCACATGCATGATATTCCAGTGATCTTCTTTCTGTACTAGGGCACGCTGCTGTTTAACATCACTTACAAAAGGAGTTTCCTTTGGTAATGGCACTGGCTCTGAAAAGACTTGAAGAATGCTTTCAGGTTTGGGTTCCTTTCTGATTTCAGACTGCACACCTTTAACAGACACATCAAGATCTTTACAATAATCTGCTGTATGCTCTCTTTTTTCTTCTGTGCTTGCAGCATGATGACGGGCTTTTTCTTGTCTCTGTATCGCAATCTGTTCGTCTGGCTTTTCCATTGAGATTATCCCTTCTTTCGTCAACGTATTTTCTAAATGAACTGCCTGAAGATGCAAAGGGACAGGAGCTTCCTTACCAGGCTGAATGGAAATTTTTGTTTCTTGTGCTGAAAACTGAGAAGACTCCTCACATGTCACCATCTGTTGTAAATCCACTGACACTGTATGCTTAAGAACAGGACTTTTTTGAGCATCTGCTTTCTCTGGGCTTGGCTTCTCACTGCTAAACCTGCCTTCAGATGGAAGAATATCCTGATCTGTGATGACCTGTAAATGCAGAACTTGACCTTCTTCTCTCTGGGACGGCACTGAAATGGCACTTTCTAAACCTGGGATCAAACTTGACTGATCAGCTTGGAGTTGATGCTTTTCCTCAGCAACAAGAGCCGATTTAAATACACTATCTTTGACTAAAGATGCTGTCTCCTCATCTGGTTTGTGCATCAATAACCTCTCTTCTTTTGATAAAGTCTGAGCAGTCTCACTAACTGAAAGGACAACTGGTTTCGCTGGTTCTTTCTTCACAGATGTCTGAAAGGTGGATTCTTGTGTTGAGAGTTCTTTAGAGTGACCTTCTGTGATCTGTTGTTTCTCAGTTGAAACTGCACTGTAAAGGATTTTAACTCCCTCTTTAACCTGGTAGCCCTTTTCCTGCTGAGTATGCTGTATAACCTGTGAATGTTCTTTAACAATCGGGAGTTTTGTCTCAACTTGGTGACTTGATATCAGATACTTGGGCTCGGGAGATGACTTGATCTGTTCTGTTTCTCTGGTTGATAAAGGCTCAGCTTTGACAATCGTCAGTGGAGTTACACTCTCAGTTATGGCGGACATTACCTGTGAGGGATGCTCTTTCTCAATTTCTAGCTCTGTAACCTCAGGACTTTTGATTCGTTCAAAGTGCTGTTCTGTGAAGCCTTGGCGTTCTTGAACTGCTGAGGTCATAGTAGCCACCTGGAGCTGTTTCAAAGGGGTTGCTACCACTGGTTGTAGCTGGACTGAAGCAGATATGACTCTCTCTTGAACTTCATGAGACTGCAACACGGCAGCTTGATGAGTCACCTGCTCCTTGTGCATAGTTGCAATGGAAACATCCAGGTCATGCAGAGTATCAACCTGCTCACTCGTTACCATTTGCCTATCTTCTGTGCCAATGGTGTAAATTACCTGATGGTCTCCCTGCAAACTAGCACCTGCCTGTCCAGGTAGGCTAACACTGTACAAGCGAGATTCAGTGGCTTCCTCTTTCATGGACACCTTATAACTTTTTTGCTCTTGGACTAATTGCTGTTTATGAAATACAGAGACTTTTTTGTGGAATACTATCAGCTCAGCACTGCAACTTGCCTCCCCAAATGGATTGACAGCCTTGCATGTGTAGAGTCCACTGTCACTCTGTAGGATATTATTCATGCTAAGGATGCCAGAGCCATCTGGGTTACTTACAACAGAACAGGTCTGGCTTGACTTAATTTGAGAATTCCCCTTAAACCACTGAACATCAGGGAAAGGAGTACCAGTAACTCTATACTGAAATTTTACCTCGCTGCCCTCTGCACACTGCACAGGTTGGATTTGTGTGGTAAAGCATGGTGGTTGCCCTGGTAGCTTGAACATTTGTTCCACCCATTTTTCTGCTGCTGATAATTGACTCACTTGTACCTTTAACATTGTCTTGCAGGTGGTTTGGCCAAATCTATTACTGGCAGTACAAGAGTACTCTCCCTCATACTCTTTCTTGACTTGTGTTATTATTAAGGTGTACTCATCTTTCTCTTCTACAAACCTATAAACTGTTGAAGTAGTGATAACCTTTCCATTGTGGAACCACTGAACTTTTGGCTTTGGAAAACCAGATACTGTGACAGTAAACCTAACTGACTCTCCGACGGTAACTTCGGCAGATGTAAGCTTGGACTGAAACACAGGTTTCTCTTTTTTCCTTTCCAAAGTACTGGAAAAACGCTTTTGCTCTGGCTTGAGTTCAAGTGTTTTTGATTTTTCAGGTAAATGTAGTGATGTGCTGTAGGTTTCTTCCTCTTCTTCGGTCTTCACAGTCAAACTAGAAAATTCTGTATGAAAATAATGGGATTAAAGATTCACCAAAATATCCTCAGAAATCACAAGAAAGATAAAGATGGAGGTCATTCAGTATGAGTCAAGAAGCGGACATAATAATGCCCTTAAGAGATAAAAAAGAAAAAATGCAAAATAACAGTAAATTGTTTCATCATAATTTTATTTACTTTTCATGTAAACAGAATTACAATAAATGGGTAGAACAACACATTTGTGTTTCTAATGAAATTATGGCACACAGATTTAGTTTTCTTTATTTCTATCCATAAAGGTTTGACTAGCTCACCTGGATTTGTACCCCCAAAATTAACAACAATTGATGAAACTGAAGGGCATATAAATGAGAACACATAAGAAAACTGTCTAACCTATGTTTATTTTTTATTTTTTATTTACAACCTATTAAATTCCTTAACTGAATTACCACTACTTTTACAAAATCATGATCGAGCTATACAACAAAAACGTTAGATTATTATCCAACTCTATGCAGTCTTACTAATACTGCAAATGATGAACTTGAGCAAGGAAAATCTAGTCTCTGAAAACAATTTCAAATAAGTATTACAAACTAGAAAATTCTGTATGAAAATAATGGGATTAAAGATTCACCAAAATATCCTCAGAAATCACAAGAAAGATAAAGATGGAGGTCATTCAGTATGAGTCAAGAAGCGGACATAATAATGCCCTTAAGAGATAAAAAAGAAAAAATGCAAAATAACAGTAAATTGTTTCATCATAATTTTATTTACTTTTCATGTAAACAGAATTACAATAAATGGGTAGAACAACACATTTGTGTTTCTAATGAAATTATGGCACACAGATTTAGTTTTCTTTATTTCTATCCATAAAGGTTTGACTAGCTCACCTGGATTTGTACCCCCAAAATTAACAACAATTGATGAAACTGAAGGGCATATAAATGAGAACACATAAGAAAACTGTCTAACCTATGTTTATTTTTTATTTTTTATTTACAACCTATTAAATTCCATAACTGAATTACCACTACTTTTACAAAATCATGATCGAACTATACAACAAAAACGTTAGATTATTATCCAACTCTATGCAGTCTTACTAATACTGCAAATGATGAACTTGAGCAAGGAAAATCTAGTCTCTGAAAACAATTTCAAATAAGTATTCAAATTATTTTTCCTTACTTTTTTTCTGATCACACTTGTAACATTAAGGAAAAAAGAAATACACAAAAGGGGAAATTAATATTCATGCAATTTGAATTAAAACACTTTTTGAAAACTTTACTTTACTTTTATCTATTATTTGGGGCATGCATTGTCAAGAAATTTTATTAGATCTTTCAAAACGGTGCTTGAAATTCACCTGAACTGAAATTCACCTGAACTCAATTCACCAACAAAAAGAAAGACCCAGGACACCACAAGAGAGGAAAACAATAAAAAAGAAGACTTACTCAAGAGTAAATGAGGATCAAATCATGTCTTTTCAATAAATTAGGGATAATTAAAATATATACTAATGAAAAACAATTTTGAATGCAGATTAAGCAAAAGTTTCTATACATAATTTCACAATAATGTACAATTGTAATACATTAAAAAAATTGTGTACTACATTACATCTATTCAAAGTAAACAAAACAACAAACCTGCTTGACATTGTTTCATAATCAATTAACTTTTTAAACTGCTGTCAAATTAAAACACTTTCAACAATGAAGTTGTTTCTGTGTAACCAGCTTTGTTTTGGATAATACATTTGAATTCGCCAGCATCACTGTGAGTTACATTTGTTATCAGCAGATTGAAATGCCCTGATGCTTTCTCCTGGATAATATATCTAGCATTCTTTACTGGAGCACCATCTTTGTACCACTCTGCTGTAGGATTAGGTTTGCCGCTCACTAAGCACTGAAGCATTACAGGTGTACCTACAGCTGCAGTGACATTTTGCAGTGGGATAATACATTTTGGGGGGATTTCAGTGACCTGAAACTGAAAACTACAAGTGTTCGTTGATTTGCCTTTGAATTCTATTTTGTCATCTTTTGAGGGTTCCGCAAAGACATCAAAATTAATACTAACATATTTTTCTCCTTGCTCACTTGTCTCGTTATCAGTAACAGCAACCAGTCTGACAGCTTTCTGAGACTCATCAGATTCCTGTTGGAACTCAAATTCAAGCTCTAATTCTGATGTCTGTTCTCCATCAAACGATGAGTTCCCAACAACCAAGTCAAATTTCTGAGGCTGAACTTTTGCACTGCCAAGAGAAACTGCAGTTAGTTCTCTTCCCCTTGTTTTGCCTGAGAATGACTGTGGATTCATAACCATAAGTGACGCTCTGCAAAGTGTTTCACCGACAACATTAATGGCTCTGCATGTATATATGCCACTGTCATGTGTGTTGGCTTTGAGAATCTTCAAAAAATGATTATCACTATCTGAGCTGCAGATGTACTTTTTCTTATCCATAGGAATCTTTACATTTCCTTTGTACCATGACACTATTGGTGAGGGAATACCCATTAAGGAACATTCAAACATTACATTTGTGTTTTCGGGTGTTTCAATGTCATAAATAGGGTTTATAAAACGTGGAGGCATTTCTGTAACTTCAAAAGCTATTTTTAATTCATCACTTTCTTGAGTTATAAAATCCACAGCCCCTTCCTCAAACATGCTTGGCAGAACATCAAGGGATATGATCATACTTTTGTTATCAGCTGTATACTCTGGAATGGTGACAATTTTTACCTGTTTTTCAAATTCTTTCACCTCATTCTCATCTAACTCAACCTCCAACAAGATTTCTTGAGGAGAGGGAGATCTTGACGGATCCTCATCCTCCTCGACATCAAACTCAATGACATGCTGATGGGTAACAGCAGGAGGGGGTAGCATTTGCCTTGCTTCCTGAGAAATAACAACAACCAAAGCAACACTTTTTGCCTCACCAACATAATTAAGAGCCTCACAGATATATTCCCCTTGGTCAGCTTTTGTGATATTCCTAATTTCCAGAGCAATGTTATCACCATCTCTTTCAATACTAGTCCTCTCATCTGCCTCAAGCTCAGTTTTGTTTATAAACCATTTCACTTCTGGAGTGGGTAGTCCAAATACTTCAGCACAGAACTGTAAGGAATCGCCTTCAAAAACTCTTCTTTTTGTAAGTGGCTTAAGGAAAGCTGGAGGAATTCCCTGAACCTTTTCCTGAAGTGTCCCCAAACCTAGTGACCCACGTCCTTCTGGAAGAATCATACCCTCATCGATAGTAAACACAGGGGGAGTTGTTTCAATACCCTCATCATCTGGAGAATTGAGAAATTTTGCCGGGGAATAAAAATCTTCACTAGAGCTAGATGAGGGTCTATTGTGTTCCACAGGGGAAAACGGATACTCGGGAGGAGTCATGACACCCCCTGGAGTCTCTGAGGGGGTATGGAAAGATTCTGGTGACTTCTGAATTTGAGAAATTTCTGTGGATGATGCTGGTGTGTAGAACCGTTCTATTTCCGCCATCTCTTCACTGACTGTGCTACCTACTTCAATAGACATTTCTGACTCTGGAGACAAAGGCCTTCCCCAATCAGTTGGTGGGTTATAGTAGTCATAAACAGCACTAAAAGTTACTTCTTCTTCCTCAAGTTTGGGAACACCAACAACCGCTAGCCTAGCAGGTTTTTTCTGTTGCTGTTGCAGTCTCTGTGTTTGGTAAGAGTAATCAGAGTCAGATTGCGATGCTCTGTCAACCTCAATTTTGGATTTTACACTAACTAGTTTTGCTATATCTGTGGCTTTCATCCTATCATGTTTTATATTAACTGGATTGATGTTATCTAGTGGCATGTCCTCATCATCTGCTCTTTGAATACTAATGGTGCCTATTTTTATTGACTCAGTTATTTCAATTGACTGTGCCTTGGTATCTGACATGACAGCTTCTTGAGCAGAGTTATCAATGCCACTTTGCCTAACACATACCTCCTCTTGTATAATTATTTGTTCTACTGTGCTATCTGGAACAGATTTAGGGCTAACAGAACGATCTTTTGGGTTAATTTTCTCTGGTAATCTAGCCTGGGGTCTGACTAAAGTGGGCGAGTGCTGGACCTCAGTAACATTTGCCAACGATACAAAATGTTGCAAGTCAAATAATTTTGATTCTATGGAAGACATTCTCATCTCTGACTTTTCTTCTAAAGTATATTCTGTGTTGTGAAGAACTGCATCTGTTACATCTGGCAAAGCTCTTAATGGGAAGATCTTAGCTGCAGTCAAAGTAGGATCTTCCATCCTGTCCTCACTACAGAGAATTGAAGTTGTTTGTTCCTTTTCACATTGATCAGGCTCAAGAGAAAACTCTGGGATATCTTCTATGGGAAAAGATGACTCATCCTTTGTTTGTACTGTTGGCTCAACAGGCTCATCTATAAAAGATGTTGGTGCTTCAAATGCTTGTTTTAATTTTGTTACTTTAACCTCTGCCCCAGATGACTGCAAACCACAGCCTGTTATTACAGGTATGTCTGAAGCAGTTTTCTTAATGTGCTTGATGAGTTTGGGAGCATCTGGCTGTGGGTAACGGGGATCATCGGTTTTGCTAATATCTTGAAATCCAGCAGGATTAACTGAAGTGAAATGTTCATAATGAAGAACATCTTCACTTTTTTGAGTAATACCTTTGGATGTTGTGGAAGAACTTGATGAAGTCTTTGTTCCAACTTTGGTGATTTCTGAAAATACGCCAAAAGATCTAGTTTGATTATCCACCTCTGACATGGCAATGGATGAAAATCCAGAGTCCAAAGTTCCAGAATTAAAAGACACATCAGCAACACTTTCAACCTGCCCAAATTTGTTAGATGCAATACATCTATATGTTCCAGCATCAAGACAAGTAAAATTGTCAATAAAAAGACTGTAACATTTGTCTTGTACCTCAAATCTATATTTACTGGTATTAAGATCAAGGCAAACATCATCATGAGACCAGACAGCCTCAGGTGTTGGTTCACCAATAATGATGCACTCAAGCATAGCAGTCTGCCCGTCTGAAGCACTAATGTTCTCTAGTTCTCTAACAACCTGGGGAGCTCCACGACCTTCATCAAAAGAAAATGTGAACTTATGCTTCATGGTTTGAGAGGACCCGTCATCAGCCGGAGATTCTGAGGTTTGTTTAACAGGCCCAAATGTGCCTTTAGCCTCATGAACAATCTCTAGCACTGGAGTTGGAGCAGTTATTCTGATCTCAACTGGTGAGGAGTGAATAGACAAGTCTGAAGTTTGCGGTATGTGGATGACTGCCTGAGGCACCTGCAATGTGTATTTGCTGTCTATCTTAGGTTTTGTTAGTGACTTGAGTTCTTCCTCAATCATTTCTTCTTCAGTGAACACTGACTCATCTGTTACTTTAACCTCTTGAGGAGGTCCAATCTCTGTCCTTGGCAGAACATCTTCAGTTACTTTGAATATGCAACATGTACTTGCTTTTCCATGTTTGTTTGCAATATTACAAGTAAGCAGACCTTGATGGTCAATAGTTGGATAATAAATGGTCAGTGTCGATGAAGTTGCTTTGGAACGAACATCAAAATCAGGGTCTCTCATTATAAGATGTCGATCTTTAAGCCATGAAACAGAGGGTGGGGGATCTCCCTGGAATTGGCAACTTAGTTCAGTCATCTCACCTCTCTTTACCTCAACCTCTGGAATTAATGTTGTCACAAATACAGGTGCTCCCGGTTTTACTATACTCGTAGAGATTTTCGCTGCAGTGGGAGTAACACTGGGGATTTCTTGTTTTGAGAGGGTTTTCTGTTGCTTTATTACATCAGGATCCTGTCTAGGCATTGTCACATCTTTTACATTACCATGATGCCGCTGAACTACATCCTTATTACCCAAATATCGGCTTTCAATACATCCAGTCACATCTGTACTAATTTTATCGGTCACAAACTGCTCAGGCTTTGTATACAACAGAACTTTTCCAGTTGGTGAAGCTGTGGACGTCAACATTGTCTCAGGTGTTTCAACAGAAGACTGCACATGCTCTGAAATGGCCCAATTAGATTCTAATTCAACACTTTCTTCTTGCTCAATTGGAACATCTTGTTGCCATTTTTTAATACGCTTTGCTAGAGCCTCCTCCTCACTGACAAAATAGTCACTTTCAGTCCTTAACTTCTCACTATCAGCTTCAGAAAGAATCTGCTTATGTGTTTTAGACCTATCAGTTACATAGGACTGAGAAGAAACATCACTAAAGCACCTCTCCTTTGCTGTTCTCTGTGGTGATCTCCTATTCATCTCTTCCACCTCAACATCTTTATATGCTGCTCTTTCTAAAGCACTCTCAGTAGCACCACCCCAATCAGGATCTAGTTCAACAACCTGTTCTTGCACAGTCAAAACATCTTGTTGCCATTTCATTATACGCTGGGTCAATGCCTCTTTTTCACTCACAGGATCGCTTTCACTTTTTAACTCATTTATTCTTTCTCGTGATAAATGTAACTCACTCTCATCTGAGAGTTCATGTGAATGTTTTTCTTTGAATGAAGATCTTGAATTCTTTGTAAATGAGGATTCCCTTTGATCTTTTAAAGCTGCTGCTTCTTCATTTTGGGCTTTACCCAAAGATTCATGAAAATAAGAGCCTTTTTTCTCTGACTTTTGGGGCTCAATAGACTCTGCCTTATCAACCTGCACATCGTGTTGCCATTTAGCTAAAAACTGATCTTCACTCTCGAATTGATTACCCTCCAAGTTTTTCTCAAGGATGTTCTCCACAGACATAGCTCTCTTTTCTAATTCCTGTACAGGAGCCCTTTTACTTTCGTGTTGCAGACCATCATCGGCAGGAAATTGTTCCTCCTTTAACTTCACTACCTTTGCTCTTGTACACACTTTGTCTGCTGGCTTCTCATGTGATGGACTGATCTCCTTTGTACTGCTGACTTGTTTGGAAGCTTGTCCTGTCTCTAACCACTGCAACACAAAAGGTTCCTTTGCCTTGACCTGTTGTGCTTCATCCCACTGCACATCTTGTTGCCATTTTCGAATGCGTTGAGCTAAGAACTGATCTTCACTTTCTAAGCACTCACTCTCTAGGTTTTTCTCAAGGATGTTTTCCACAGACATAGCTCTCTGTTCTAGTTTCTGTACAGGGACCGTTTTACCTTCATCACCAAAAAATATTTCTTTCATTGGCTTCACTGCCTTGGCTCTTGAAGACTCTTTTTCTTTTGACTCTTCGTGTGATGAGCTTATCTCCTTTGTATTGCTTGCTTGTTTGGAAGCTTCTCCTGCCTCTAACCACTGCAAGACAAATGGTTCTTTTGCCTTAGTCTGCGCCTCATCATCCCACTGACTAAGGCTAGCATCATCTTTGTGCACTAAAATATCATATTTTATCTCCTTTTCTGACTCCTCTTTCGATGTGATCCCTTGATCCATCCGTGCATCAGATACATCAATTTGAACGTCTTTTCTTAAAGTTTCTTGTAGAGGAGGTTCACCCTTCATCATTCGAAGTGCCCTAGATCTTGACTGAGGCTCAAAAGAGTGTCTAACTCTTCGATCAGTTGATTGGGAGCGAATTCCGGTAATTCTCTCCAGTCTACTCTGATATTCTGCTGAACCTCTACCACTTTCACCTTGCTCACCAGGATGAACGACATGTTGAACTTCAGGCAAAGTAGATGGCTTGACTCTGAGTCTCTCAACGTAATCTGTGTAACAAGGCTCACTTGTAACTGATTCCACTTCAAACTCAGATGAGGACATTGTAGAAATAGAAAGTCTCTTTTTCTTTTTGACAGCCTTTTGTAAGAGACTGAGTTTTGCTTTAACCTCTCCATGAAGGCTGTCTGTGTCGCTAAATCTGTCGCTGTACCTATCACTACACCGGTCACTGAATTTATCACTAAACCTATCACTGTATCGGTCACGTCCTGTGAATCTGTCACAGTATATATCACTGTATCGATCACTGAACCTCTCGTATCTCTCATACATCGGAGTTGGAGAGCGTGCACGTTCAGATGCTGTCTCAAACTTGCTGTCCCTGTCTGTTCTTGATGGGGACGAAGTTCTAAAATACATTGTTCGGAACAGAGTGCTTTTTGATCTATGACGTCCCTTAGTTTGCCCTTTAGTTGTTTTATCAAAAGGAGAGCCAACACATCTAAGATCTACTTTAAATGTTCTTTCTTTTGTTGAATCAGCTAATGAATCGGAGCTCGAGTGGGCTTTGTTTGAAGATCTAGAATGACTGAAATAAGTAACATCTTGCTCTTCCCTCAGTGATACAAGAAGTGATGCTGTGGTTTCAGCAGATCCCTCAGTGTTAATTGCCATGACTTTGTAACTGCCTGAATCTTTTTCCTTAATCCCCTCAATTGTTAAACTGGTTGCGTGCATATGCATTTTACTAACTGTATATATTTTACGATGGTGCTCCTTCTGTATTTGTCTGTTATTATGAAACCACAATATCGTTGGAGGTGGCATTGCAACTAGCTTGCACTTAAAAGCTGCAGTGTCACCCTCTACAACAGACTGAAATTTCAGCTTTTTGGTGAAGGAGGGTTTAATGTTTTCAGACGGGGCTACAAGACCTTGATCTAAACTTTCTTCTGGGTCTGAAAATGCACTAGATTGTGGTCTTCCTTTTTCCATGTGTTCAGTTCCTTCATTATAAAACAACTCTGGAAAAAAAGGAGACAAATTTCAACAAAATGCACAGTTTGCTAAAGAAACTGAAATATATATCAAATAGAATATTAATAGATATATTAAAGCATGCATCAAGTCACAAAGCCATAAAAAACAAATTCACTCACCATATTTGTTCGAATAAACGCAAGACTTGAGTCTTTATTAAAGATTCTGACACGAAAATCGCTTGATGTTTTGTTCCTTCTTCTGTGGACAGTTCTTCAAAGCATAAATTTCTTTTCAAAGCATTAATACGTATCCAAATAATACTGATCTGTTCCGCAAAAGAGCCTCTTATATATTTAAATTGATGTATATATATCCTAAAATATTCCTTACCTGACTTGCAGAATGATGAATAAACGCCCTTTCTAATCCTTAGAATGACGGAAATCTTTCATACATATAGAGAAACATCACTCTCTATTGATAAAAAGAAGAGTGTGGTCATTAAAACAGCTCTAGATTTCTTTGAGAAGGCGTTTATTCGAACTAATATAGTTTACACGTATAACCATGTTATTTTAAAAAGCAAACAACATTAATCACATACCGCTATCTGCAAGCCAGTCTAAGAAATATTTGCAGGAAGGTGTTCCAGATGCAAGAAACATAAGAAGCAATTAAAAGATGTGGCTAATTCCATATCTTTTAAAACGTAATTTCCTGTGGTCTGGAACTTTTAAAGGACAATCATCCTGCACTTTTTACTTCTAAAACAACCAAGAAGTACCATATCCTTCATGCTTTTCAAAGGGGAATGAACAGATGCAAAACTTTGCAAAAGTGCTTCACAGCAAGCATTTTACCAATCAAATTGCTTGCTATCCAAAAACACTTGATTCCAACCATACACATATCCAACAGTAACATATGAAAGTTGTTCCCATTAAAGAGGATGTGTTTGCATGCAATACAATATGCTTGGAAATGTTAAATTTAATAGTTTTACAGAGAGACATCATTATTAAATACGTTTTATACTGTAATTAAGACCCTACCTTTGACCTCTTCCTCAATTTTTGCTTCAATCTCCTCTCGTGCCTTTGTAACTGTAAAAGAAAAAAAGAGTAATATGAATAAATGAATAACAAACAATTAGCCAAATATGCCACCTACAACATGCAAAATCCAAGCAAACATCACTGTAGCAATAATCCATTCTGCATGTAAAAACAAATGTAAAAATGTTAAAAAGATGTGAAACATGCGATTTCGAGAAAGCATGCATTTGCCAGCCTGACGCCAAGAGAGCACTGTATGATACAACTTCTTCAGCAGCACTGACAAGGTTTCATAAAGTAAAGTTAGTGAAGGTGATCAGGAAATTCACTGAGAGATTCTTGAGGTTGACTGAAAGGCTTAAAAAGTAAATGACGTGAATTAATCGTGATTTGTTAATCAAAAACCATATACTACTTTGATCTCAATTACCTTCTTCTGTTACAGCAAGGATGGCTGAGCAAGCTGCCTCTCCTGCGATATTGACTGCTTTGCAAGTGTACTGTCCAGCATGCTCAGAGAAAGTATCAACTATGATTAGCGTAGCCGTGTTTGTCATCTCATCAAAATGAAAGACAACATTTTTGGTAGGCTTTATAGACTGTTGGTTATGGAACCAACATATCTCTGGTTTTGGCATGCCAGACACACAAGCATGGAATCTAGCCACTTCTCCGTGAGCCACCACACAGCTCACAATAGGCTGAATAAAAGTTGGCCTTTGGCCAGTATGATCCTTCTGAACAGTCTTAATGCTTGTGAAGAGGCTGGATGTGGCTTGAGACTCAGATGTATAGTCCGTAATTTGTGTTTGTCCTGAAAGGAAGTATTGATTTGTCCTCAACTAATTACTATAGTGCACACATTGAAGTTTGTTTGTACAAAACTCATTCTGTTTTCACATTTGTCTGACAAAATTGGTCTGTATTAACAGTAGGGCTGTTTCAGCTATTTCAGCATTATCTACCTCATGCTTTTGTGTAGTCATGCATTAATAAATTCAGGTCTTTTTTTAAGGAAAGTAAAAAAAGACCTATTCGCAATCATTACATATTCAGCAGTTTGTGTGGATGACACTTAGTATAAATTTATGCATTTTACTCATCGCACTTACAGAAAAAAAATCAACAGATTTTAGATTTCTCACACTGCATAAAAATACATAGGTAATGAAAACTGAAAAAAATGCAGTTCTCTGCTTGTTTTTGAATTAATATTTCTATCAGTGATAGAATGACAATTATTTTAAGAATTTACGGAGAAACCAGTGCTCGGCTAGTCACTTGTGCATTCATGTAGTTCTAATTCACTCTGAATTGTTCATTCAGTTTTTAGAAATCATTGTTTTAGTAATCATTGTTAGCTTTGAAAGCCCTAATTAACAGACAAACCACCACCAACTGTGTTATTAATTAATAAAAACTAACATACATTATAATTAAAGCCATTATCAGTTTTTTTTAATTAGTTTGCGATTTTTTTGCGATTTTTGGTTGGTAAGAAAATTTAACTCACCATCCACTTTCAGTACAGCAGAACAGGAGACCATTCCTGCAGAGTTACGGGCAACACATGTGTACTCGCCCTCATCCTCAGGATAAACTCTGGTGATCTCCAGCTGACAGTTTTCATCAAACTGAGACACTCTGAATACATCAGACTGCTTGATCTCCTTATCTTTGCAATACCAAGTAATTGTCAGATCTAAACAGGAGTAAATCAGAGGAATAAGCATGAGCATCAATTAATAGTACAATTTACTATTTACTCGATCATGTGTGCCAGCACCAAAACCAGCAAAATCATGTGCTCCAAAACCTAGTGAGTAGGGATGGGAGATATGGGCAAAAATATGACCATAATATTGTTTTCCATATTAGACAATATTAATATTTAACCCAATATTTATTTACCATTGTTAATGTTTGTTAGACCTTGAGAATGAATTTGAACAAAGCTTGATTTTTCACAATTAAACTCCACAAAGTAAGCTACCTCTTAATATAAGGCCACTATATTATAAATAATCAATTTTATTTTTCCTTAGATTCTGTTTTCCTTTTTATTTTTCTGATTTCTGTGTTTTATAATTTAATACAGATTTAATATCAAAAATGGTATCTAATAAAATGAATTAATCTTTTAAAATGTAAATCAAATGAAAATATAACAATTAATTTACAACAAGACATTGCATTTTTATTTTTTTGTCAAATAAGACAACAGAATGGTATAAATTAAAACAAGTATGAAAAAATATCTTGGTTGTATGACATTGCTTAAAACATTATTATTACTACTTTGAGAAATAATAATAATTTATTGCAGTCTCAATATGATATCATATATTTATCACCCAGCCAACTTCATTTTAAAGGATCATAAAAGTGCTCCCAATGTAAAAGCTATACTAAAAAGTTGGATTTTAATAATTCTGTCTCCTAAGATAACTAGTTTTAACCAAATCCTTAAATTGCATTGCATGTATCCAAGGTGAATGCAATCCCATAATGTATTGCAACAAGCTCTGAGATTGTCTAACTATGCAGAGCATTACAAATTACTCACTTATGGGACTTAGGATGCTAGCAGAAAAGGCAGATGCCTATGTAGACAATAAGCAGCTCACTAGGTTTGGAACAGAGTTATGATTACTGATCTCACCTTCCCCTGAGACACGACATTGGAACCTAGCAGATTGTCCTTCATTGGCAGAAGTGTTGCGTATTGGTGTTATGACGACAGGTGGTGACAGTGGTGCTCCAGTGTCAGGGGAAACAACTTCTGGAACTGAGGAGTATAAGGCATAGCAAGCATAAGCAAATTATGTACCTATAATTCATTGTGAATTTTTTCCCGTGTTTTTCTTTACCTTCCACATTAAGTGATGCAGAGCTTGTGGCTACTCCATAGTCATTCTTAGCTTCACAGTTGTACTGAGCTGCATCCTCTGGGAAGACTTCGATAAGTAGCAATGTGTGCTCATTTCCCTCCCTCAGGAACTTACACTTGAAGCCAGAAGACAGGGCCTGAGAGTTCTTATACCAAGATACCTGAGGCTGAGGAATTCCTTTCACTTCCACAGAGAAACGTGCAGGTTTGCCAGCCTCAACAGACAGGGGCTCCATGTGCCTGATGATCTGAGGAGGCTCTGGGACTGAACAATGCAATAATGTTGAATAAGAATAAATAATAGACATACAGAGACAAATAAACTAAGAAACATTATATTCCATATAAGACATCAACATAAAAGACTTTATAAAAGACTTTTTATGCAAGTAGTTTAGCATGGTAGATATGTCCATTAAATGCCTTTTAATTGCATTTGTCTGCAAATAAATAAAATGGAAAAGTAATGCCTCTTACCTATTTGGCAAAGTAACTAAGGAATTATAATGTATATTTCTTACTTTACTTTTTTAGCTCTAATTATGTTATCTAATTACCCTCAATACTGCATGTATAAAAATGTATATCACTGTATGTCACTGCATAAACATTTTGACAGATTGCACTAAAAGAATCTAAAAGTTTTGAGACCAAACTCACTGTTAACATGTAGGGTCACAACACTCCTGTTCTTTCCAGCAATGAATGTGTATTCTCCAGCATCGCTTCTGTATGTTTCTGTGATTGTCAGGCGATGAATTTTTCTAATAACGGCATAGTTGAAGCGCTGATCTACAGAAAACTGGATCTCGACTCCATTTCTTAGCCAGCGACCCTCAATGTCATCCTCGTTGACTTCAAATTCAAATGTAGCTCGTTGTTTCTCAAGTACCTGGATTAAAATTGCAATAAAAAAGCAATTGAATGCATTATTGATGGGCTGATCACTGCTTGTCAGTAAATAATATTTAAGACAGCTTGGTACTTACGGTGATTTCTTTCTCGGCAAGTTCACTGATACGCACATCCTTGCCCTCAACTGTGAGGGTAGCTTTCGATACACTAGATCCAGCAACCACAGAATATTCACCAGCATCAGACATGCGCACAGTTTGGATCATAAAACGATGCATGTGTCGCTCTGTGGACACTTTGTACCTAAACAGTGAAGATGATATCTCCATCAAGACACTGAACTTAATAGATGTCAAAGAGGAAAACTGTGAATGGATATGGAAAACCAACATCTGGAGTACCTTTCGGATATTTCAAGTTCCTGACCATCTTTCATCCATGTTACTTGGACATTGGGCTCAGAGAGTTCGCATTCAAAAGTGGCCTTCTTTTTCTCAGTAACTTTAATGTCCTTGATGTGCTTGGTGAACTCGATGACACGAGCTTAAATTGATGATGACAAAACAACTTGATCAGAATGAACAGGATAAACCGAAAATAAAAAATATGAAAAACTTTATAACAAAAGCAAATATTACCTTCAACAAACAGCTTTGCTGCGGTTTCAGCAGATCCAGTCACAAATTTGTACTCTCCAACATCCCCAAAGTGGACATTTCGGATAGTGAGCGAGTGAGTGAACTGTTTGGTGCGAGTTTGGCATCTATCACTGGATCGGATTTCTACACCATTCTTCAGCCATTTGTAGGTGATACCTTCATAGTTGACGGTCACCTCAAATGTGATGGTGTCCTTCTCTTGTGCATTCAGGTCTTTGAGCATAGATGTGATGAGGACAGCTGAAGGAGAGGGAAGAAACATTTATTGACTGAATTCTGAATTTTTGTTGCCATTTTAGCTTCTTTTGAATTATTAAATACATGTCTGGTGAGCACTTAAGCATTAGCAAATAACATGAAAAATAACTTACGGTTAACTGTCAGGGTGGCAGAGACTTTGTCATTTCCACATACAAAAGTGTATTCTGCAGAATCATCTCTGCTGGTATTCATGATCTTCAGCTGATGCAGTTTGCCTTGCACCACAATCCTGAACTTCTCACTCATCTCAATCTCAACTCCATTTTTCAGCCAGGTGGATGGAACATTGAAATGTGAAACTTCACATTCAAACGTGGCCACATGGGTCTCTGGAACCTCAATGTTCTTCAGGGGCTTTGTGACTCTCAAAGCTGAAATAGTCATTATATGGACTTAGCAGTGTATTTTAGACACTAAACAAGTTTTGGTAGGGGACATCTTTAAATTGATACTTACATTCAACATGTAAATATGCGCTGCATTGTAAATGTCCAACTACAGCTGTGTACTCTCCATCACTGCTTTCATCAACATTTTGAATGACCAGCTTATGTGCTTTTCTTTCAGACATTACTTGAACATTGGCACTAGGTTTCAGCTCTTGGTTTTTGAACATCCATTGAACAGGTATGTTATCATGGGATAAACTCAGCTCAAAAGAGGCAGTTCCATTGACCAGGGAAGTCACATCTTTCGGCTTTTTCACAATCTTAACAGCTGCAATAGAATGATTTTGCATATTAGAGTTTTTTTTTTTTTAAGGCAAATTTTCTTTGATTTTGGCAAATAATAAACTTACTTTCAACATTGAGTCTGGCATTAGCAGAGAGTTTTCCCAGTTTAAATCCATAGACTGATTCATCTTGGGAGTTGCAGTTCTTGATCTTTAAGCTGTGAACCAATCCATCTACTGTTATCTCATATTTGTCACTAGGGATAATTTCTATTCCATTCTTGATCCACTGGGATCCTTTCACATCTAAATGAGTCAGTTCAAGACTAAACACTGCCTCTTGGGTTTCGGTGACTGTTTGGTTCTTCAATGTTTTCTTGATCTTCACAGCTGTGGAAGACACATTTGCAATCAGTTGCACACAAAGGAAAAATATGTTCAGTATGGAAAAGGAATTCTGCCTTCAAAACATGGTAGTAAATGTACCTTCAACCCTTAAGTTGGCAGATGTCTTGGAGTTTGCCACTTGGTAGGTGTACTCCCCAACATCTTGTGGTCTTGTGATAACAAAGAAAAGTCGGCGGACTGTACCTATATCCTCACTTCTGACATTGTCACTAAAGTTAACAGAGTGGCCATCCTTAAGCCACTTTCCTTCAGAGGTGGGGTTGGCAACCTCACACTCCAGAACAGCAGTTTGGGATTCTGCTACAGTCACATCATGGAGTGGTCTGTTTATAGCGCCACCTAGTGTAAGAAAATCATAACCGTGAGGCAACATCTACGCATCAACTTGACAGATATTTGACAAATGACAAAAATCATACCTGATACAGTTAGTTTTGCACTGGATGTCTTTTCGCCTGCTGCAAATGTATACTGGCCCTCTTCATCCTTCATAGCGTTGATGATGGTCAGGCTATAGTGCTTCCCTTTGGACTCAATTTTGTATTTGGGTCCAGCCTTGAGAGGCTGATTCTTGAAGGTCCAATAGGCATCTATACCAGTGTGGGATAATTCTACTTCAAAGGTGACATTCTGAGTTTCAGTGCACACACAGTCCTGCATGTGCTTGATGATGCTGACCTCTGTATGACATAAATATGTTCATTAATAATGGAAACCCATAAAACTTAACTTTAAGCAAACACTAAAAAAAGGTGTTATATTGGTTCAATAACAGAAATACTCACTCTCAATAGTAAGTTTACAAGCTGTTTCCACTCTGCCGACAACCATCTTATAGTGTCCTTCATCAGAAGCAAAGGACCTATTCAAAACTAGTCTCTGCTTGGTTCCTTTGGCAACCATCTGGATTCTCTCACTAGCCACAAGGAGCTTGTCATTTTGGTACCATTTCACAGAAGCAACATCAGAGGCAGAGATTTTAGCTTCTAGTACTGCCTTCGTACCCTCTATAGAATGGACATCCTTTAGAGGTGATATGATTTCAATTGCTGTAAAGAGGGAAAAAAAGATTAAAGTTACATTTCTGCATTCTCTTGCGGTATTTCAGTTTTTTAAAGTCTATGCATCAGCATCAAAAACCAACTTACTTTGGACAGTAAGTTTTCCGGTTGTAGAAATGTTTTGAATAGGAACAACAAATGAGTAGATTCCTGCATCATCCCTGTTGACATTTTCGACCAGAAGTTTGTGGACAAGTTTGTCAATGACAATGTGAATTCTGTCTGTGGCAGAGATGGGCTGACCATTTTTCATCCATGTTCCCTCCACATTTTCCTGAGAGAATCGCACCTCCAGCTGGGCAATATCACCCTCACAAATTGTCAGATCAGAGAGGCCTTGCATCAGAGTTACAGGACGCACTGAAATCAAATAAAATTATACAATTGTTTACATAAAATCTTTAATGAAGTTCCTAATTTACTGTAAAATACTCCAACACTACAAATTATATTCATAATATTATATAAATTATATTAAAATTCTACGTACATTTCATCTTCAGTGTGGCACTTGTCTTCAGATCACCCACTTTAAAAGTGTATTTGCCTTGGTCCTCCTTCCTAACGTCTTTTACAGACAGGGAGTGTCGGCCACGACGAGAGGATACAACATATTTAAGGCTTGGCGTAACTTCTTTATTCTCAAAGTACCAGGTGCCTTCGGCATCTTCACGAGACAGCTCACATTCAAACTCTCCAGAGTATGTCTCAGGCACTTCAACGCTATCCAGATTTTTTATAATTTCCAATGGTGCACCTGTAAAACAAATTAGATGTTTGACCAAAAATTCTAAGATGTAAATGTGAAATAAAAAAGCAACAGCTGAGTGTAAGCTAACCTTCAACATGAAGTTTGGCAGAAGTTCTTATGTGGTCATCATCAACTAAAGCACAAGTGTACTCTGCATCATCTTGCATGTCGATTATCAGCACAGATAGGAAGTGCACCTTTCTGTCAGAGTGCATCCTGTATTTGTCTCCGGAGAAAATTTCGGCATTGTTCTTCATCCATTTGACTTTGACAAATGGCTCGTTTGTCTCACATTCAAAGGTTACCATTGTGTCTTTCTCTTTAGCATAGGCATCCTCCAGTGTCTGGGTAAAAGATATAAGCTGCTTGGCTGCAAAAACCCGAAGAGAATTTAATAGATAAAGTAACTCTGACATAAACAATGATCATAAGAGTAACACTGATATATAAATGACAATACATACCTTGCACCAACAAGAAAGCATGGCTTGAGGCCTCACCAGCAATGTTAATGGCTTTGACCATGATACTAGCAGAGTCTTCAGCTGAGACATCTCTGATTACTAATTCACAGACATGGTCCTCGGGCCAATACCAATAAATACGATCTGACTTCTCAAGTAAAATGCCATTTTTGAACCACTGGCACTCTGGATCTGGTTTACCAACAACCCTACAACGGAAGCGAACTTCATCAGACAGAGACACTGTCTGGCTCTGAATTCTTTCCAAGATCTTTGGAGCCTCCATGCTGGGAGAGAGTGTAATTTTCTCAGGTCTGATTGTAGGAATTTTAAGTTTGCCTTCCTCCTCCTCTTTCTTCTTTTCTGACTCAGTCAACTCTTTGGTCCAGTGCATAAGTTCTTCTTTTCTCTTCTTTAGCATTCCTTCATAAGATTCATCCTTTCTGCGAGACTTCATCTCAACTGAGGATATGGCTTCATAATAGCCCTCTTCAGTCCTGCGTTTAAATTTGCTTCGCAGCTCTTCTGTCTCTTCTGTGGATTTTTCATGAACAACTCTCTCAGCCTTCCTCAGTCTGACAACTTCTTTTGCTTGTGAAGCCTCTGTAGGTTTATCTACCTTCACAACATCGAAAGATACTCTGCCAGGTTCGGGGCCAGATGCCTCTGGAGCCTTCTCAGGAGCACGGCGCAAAATTGACCGGAAGTCTTCCTTCTGTTGGATTTCAAGCTTGACAGTGTGCTCAGCTGTACCCTCTGGGTTCTCAGCCAATACTTTGACTTCTCCAGAATCATACGACTTACAGTCAGTGATTTCCATATAGTGAATGCCATCATAGTGTAGTCTGAATCGTTTGCTCTTTCGAATGAGCTGTCCATTTAGGTACCAGTTGACTTTGGGAGTGGGGTAACCAGTCACTCTACAACGATATTTGGCTGTTTCACTCTCGAATACTTTTATGGGTTCTGGGAGCAAGACAATCTCTGGCTTGGTCTTCTCTGACATGTCATCTCCAGTTACTCCTGAGGGTGCGCCCTCATGGGCAATTCGCTCTATTTCATCCATTCTGTGCATTTTACCTTCTGGCAACTGACTTTCCTCCACTAGACCCTTTTCGTCCTTCACAATTAGTGTAGCCGAGGTCTGGTCAGCACCAAATTTGTTAGTAGCTCTGCAAGTAATGATGCCACTATCTCTGGAATAAGCAACTTCATAATCAAGACTGCAATAGCCAAACTCATTGATCATACGCAGTCTGTTAGCAGCTTCCAGTGGCTTGCCATCATGCAGCCACTCAACAACCATAGTTGGGTCACCAATAGGGGTCAGTCTGCACTCAAAGTGCACAGGTCCAAATCGCTTCAGCCTGACTGATGTAAGCTTCTTTTTAAAGTGTGGCTTCTGTTGCTTTTCCTTGTCATAGAGGTCACCCTCTTCCCACTGTTCCTGACCATAGCGAAGATGCAGTGGTTCAATTTCTGGTGGAGCAACGTCCTTTGCCTTATATGTTCCTTTGGGAATGATGAGTCTTCTTTCTGGTTCAGGTTCGGTGAACTCAACCTCTACATTGACTCTGCAGCGAGTGGTATCTCTGCCAGCTTTGTTAATGGCTGTGGCTGTGTACCACGCACTGTCAGAGCCAGCAGTCTGAGGAATCTGGAAATGTGCCTGTCCTTTGGTACCCTCAATTCTGCAATACAAATTTTGGATTTAACAGATTAGTACCACAAAGAGACCATAATTAAACAATTTGAAAAGCAAGTCCCTTACTTGATGTGAGGGTATTTATGAGGAGAGATGATGTCACTGTTTTTCAGCCAGACAATGTCAGGGAGGGGGTTTCCAATGGCTTTTACTGCCAACTCAACCAAACTTCCTTCCTTAACACTGATATTCTTTAGCTTTTCAATGAACTGGGGTCGGACCAAATTTTCCTTTGCTGTAATATGTAAGCCATGAGTTTACACAATCTCCCACACCACCAAATCTAGACCTAACATAGTTTTTAGAACAAAAACAAATGGTTTACCTTCTACGGTGAGAGTCATAGATGCTGTAGTCTTTCCAGCTCTGTTCTGAGCAACAACTGTCCACTCTCCGGAGTCCTGAGGCATGGCAGGAACCACAATCATTGACTGAGTACCATCCTCCTTTACCACAATCTTGTGGGTGTAGTCATTGACCACTTGTTGTCCTTTGGTAAAGATAATTAAAAACAATAAATGTTTCTGTTCCATTTTCAACAAGCAAAAAAATAAATCAAATATGCAAACAAAAAAAAACACTCTGATGCATTTTGTTCAGGATTCTTTGACAAACTTCAAATTTTATTTAAAATACAAATCTTTTGTAATGTTAGAAATGTTGTTACTGTCAATTTTGACCAAATTAACATATCCTTGCTCAATAAAAGTATTAATTTCTTTAAAAATATATTTTTTTTTGAACAGTACTGTAGTTTAAAAAAACACTTACCATTGTGGAACCAGTAAGTGTCGGGCATAGGTCTTCCAACTACTTTTAAGTCAAACCTTGCAGTCTGTCCTTCAGAACACCTGAAGGATGATGGCTTCTGTACAAAGACAGGCTTATATAGCCTCTCCAGTTGACTCTCATCAGTGTCATCAAGTCTACGAGCAGGAGAACGGCTAACAGAGCGAGCAGGTGAACGGCCAGGGGAGTAACTAGTTGAGCGAGCAGACATTGGAGATGTAGACCTAAAACATTAGAAGGGTAAATGTGGAAAACATTACATTATATCTAGTCATAACAGCGAATAGAGATGAAGCTTAATAAGGCAAAGGCAACTCACTGGACTCTCCTCACAGCTTCGGCCTGTGGGTAGTAAGGCTGAGCAGCTGCTGTGGACTCCACATAGAGCTTTCCAGAACTGACAGCATTACCCTTCATATTGCTAGCAAATGCAGTATAGATGCCCTCATCTTCTGGCAACACCACAGGTAGACGCAGACTAGCTCTACCATCTTGTAGAACCTCCATCTGATAGCGGCCTCCATGCTTAATGCGCTTACCGTCTTTATACCAGGCAATCTATTTAACACAAATGACGTAAAATTACTTATATATATTGTGCTGTGATGAGAATACCGTTTATCAATAGAATTAGCACCCTTACCTTTGGTGATGGTGTTCCTTCCATCTTGCAATGGAAAGTAACACCCATGCCTTCCAGAATTCTGTAGCTTTTGACTGGAGTGCTAAATGAGGATCCGACAGCCTCATGCTCAGCAACATTCATGACCATCTCCTCACTATCCTCAATCACCAGTTCTCGGTAAGTTATTTTAAGGATGCGGATTTCAATCTCTTGGATTATTTTTCGTTCAATTGCAGATATTTGAAATTCCTGAAAATAACAAAATGTATATATATATGAAATCCATATGTAATTTCATTTTATTAAATTACATTTTTAGAGGCATTTCTTAGTAAGCAAACTGAAAGTTACATTTTTTTAAATTTTATTTATGATCTCATTCAAAAATGATTAAAATAACTTTTCCCATATAAATTCATTACCGTCTCTGAGATGAAGGACTGCATCATCTGTGTTTGCTGAGCCATCCTCCTCTGCATCATCTCTTTTTCATATTCGCTTACAAGTACAGGGGGCACATCTGCCACTTTGGGCTCCTGCACCACTGTTGTCACTTCCGTTACATATGTCACATCCAGTTTCTTCATATAGACTTCAAACTCCTCTGTAAAATCATAATGGCATGTTGATTCTTCTGTTCAAAACTTTTTTTTTATATTGAAATCACAGATAATAATTACTTTATTCACAACTAACCTTCTTCAAGAAGGCTCGTGGAAGCAGACACCTCTCCATGTTGGTTCTTGGCAAAGATGGTGTACTCTCCAGCATCATCAGCAAATGTCATAGAAATTTCCAACTTACATGCCCCTGTATCCTTGTTATAGCTAACTCTATATCTGTTAAATTACAAGGAAAGTATTAGCTTTCTGTTTTACTGTGTAGAGACCAACCAGATTCAAACTGTACTGAAAATCTATACCTGTATCCAGTAGTGAGTGGAACTCCACTCTTCTTCCAGTAAATATGTGGCTTAGGGCTTCCTCCGATCTGGCACTCAAAGACAACACTGCCCCCCTCGACCAGCTTCTGAACCACTGGCTTCTTCACAAAGAAAGGAGCAGCAGGTGCTCCAGTTTCCACAGAGACCGCACTTATTTCAGAAATGGTCTCCTCTTTGGCTTCAATGAAAGTCCTTGTTTAAAACACACACACAAAATAATTACAACAATTATTAAAGTGTGTTATCCATCAGTTCAACTTTTTTTACTAGTTAAGGTGCAAGAGTCCTTGCTCTTGCCATTGTAACTTACTGTTTCTCCTGGACAGTAATGTCCTCTCTGCTCTCAATCTCCTCAGACACTGTAAAAAAATATAAGATAAATGGTTTTTGTTGTTGTTGCTGTTTTAAAAAAAATGGTTAAGGTATGGAGGTATATCCTGCATTTTTTGTTTGTTTATTCTCTTTTATTGTAAGATTTTAATAGTATGCAAAATATAGAAAACTAATAGCATACTATGTGATCTAAACCCCAACATCCTCCCAGTCCCATTTGACCAAAATCCTACCCCTTTACCTAGGTCAATTCTATGAAAAGTAAGTACATAAATAAATAACTTTATAAATAAACAAAATAAACATACAATAAATTATCCCGTGTTTTATGCTTTTTGTGCTTCTTTCAACTTTCAATTTCAACTTTGGGTTCAAAAGAAATGCAGATGGGTTTGCAATATTTCTGGGAACTGAATCTTATTTGTGGTTTTGTTTTAAAACATTTTGGAAAATATTTTATAGCTTTATTACATACATACACTTAAAATAAGCAGTGCCACAAAATAAATTTAATTAGAATTAAAAATAAAATAATTTCAAGGTTTACCTTTGACAAGCAGGTAGCATGAGGTGCTGATAGTTCCAGCCTCACTGGTAGCAGTGCAAGTGAAGCGGCCACTGTCTTCAGCAAAGGCCTCACGGATCACCAAGCGGGCATAGCTGTTTTCATAAGTGATCTGGAAGTCAATGGAGTGCTCAATTCTGTAATCCTCTCTGAACCACATGATGGCTGGGGTAGGGTGGCCTGAAATCTGGCACTCCAGAGTGATAGACTCTCCCTCTGTGACATTCACATTCTTCAAACCCTAATGAACAAGACACCAATTTGTATTTAGTGATTCTTCAAGGGATTCTAAAAATCAGAAATGAATTAAAATGCTAATAAAACACTTACTGCCATCAACGTAGGGGGCACTACAGGCTCTTTGATAGCTGAGGGGATCGCTGCAGTCTCAACAACCTGCAGGAAAAATTCAACATTTACCAAGTGACACAATTATTTTGTTAGCGGATTGGCACAAATTACGTTAAAAAGAAACAGCTTGTCTGAGTATGAAAAAAAAAATTAAATCTGATAAAGATTAGGAGGAGATGATGAGAAGAAAGCCTCTGAATATCAGATGAGATCTGTAAGGAAAATGGTTAGGCCTTGAGGAATCTTTCAGTAAGTGATAATCCAACCACACAAGACTCTATATGAGGAAGAATAACCAGTGATATTAAGGCAAATGTTAGCTTTACAAGTGGAAAACACACCAAACTACAAACCTTTGTGTCCCATTCTTCCCCAGCAAATGAAACGCCTATCTTTCTGTGTAACTCTGTTTCAAAATGAGCCTGATATCTCTCTGCAGTGTCTCTAAAAGGAGGAGGAGTCGGCTCTGGGGTCACACGAGTCTCCACAATCTTATGTGTTGGAGGCTTGACAGGCTTGATGATCTTTTGAGCTGCAGTTGTTGAGGATAACCCTTTTTGTAGTGTGGCAATAGCAGAACCTGCTATTGAAACCTGACCAACCCAAGAAGAGCAACATTACCACAGAATACCACAAAAACTATCACTTTTGTTTAGCCACACAGAGGGGAAGAGTCACGGAACCTTTTTTAGAAGGATGGTAGGAAAAATTAATTTGTTAGGAATTTCAGATAACTCATACTTGATGGATTAATAACTTGATGGTTTAATAAGAGGTTGATGGACAAACTAATGGACGGACGTTATGGTGAGAGTTATTATGAAGCTTAAATGTGAGGTATTGAGGGTGGGTTTTTGTTTTGTTTATATTGGTCTGTATAGGTGGCACTTGTTAAAGGATAGTGCTAATATGTTAAAATAAAATCTGAAACATAAAGTGACACCAAAAATTCTGAGACCACTAGTGAAAATGCACATATTTTGCATTGCATATAATTAAATACAAAACTTAAATGTACTTTAATTTACAAAAGTACTTGGTATGTCCCCCTTTTGCTATAATGACAGCAGCAGTCAGCTGCATGAACTCCAAAAGTATGAAAAGCGTAATAGCACAAATGGCAAACATTACATAACAGTGAAAAATATTCCATAAATCCTTAAACTTTGATAAAATTACTAATATCCCAAATTTTCAGTGGTCTCAGACTTTTGGAACCGACTGTGCATAAATCTGCTGTTGAATTCTAAAAACTGTGTTTCAGGCAAGCAGGATTTCAAGATATTTTAATTCGAGATTTAAATTGAATGAAAACTAATTTCAGATTTATTTCATATGGTTTATGCAAATTTGTTTACGTTCTATCAGCTTTCTCTCTCATTACCCTCTTTCCTAAATATCTAAAAATGCATGTAACTTAGAGAAGGGGGATTTCACTGCTTGCCTGTAATCACCAAATCTTACCTCATACCTATGATCTGGTTTTGGTACAGTAACTTTTGATACTGTGAAATGTGGAACTGGGGATGGTGCAAGGTCAGTCTCCACCTTGGAGCTAACCTCAGTAGTTCTTTGAATCTATTACAAATCAACAGAGGATATTTGAATGCAAATACACTAAAGAAATAAAATAAAATAAAATCATTTTCACGTTTCAGGTTCTGTTAAATGCTTCTAACCTGGGTGACATGTACACTCTTCTCGGTAGTAGACGTTGGCATTTCAGTGGGAATTAGCAACAGCTCCTTTTTACTTGTGACCTGTTGCTTAGTTGCTAGCATTTCCTGATGTCTTATGTCAGCCTCTTCTTCCAACTGAGCCCCTTCAGCATGCGTGGGCTTTCGTATACGTGCATGATCAACAGCAGCAAGCACAGTGGCCACGGCTTCTGCTTTTTTCCCATCACCCTGGCAAGAGCAATCACTGATCAATATCTAGAACACATGTATAGGCATAAAAACTATTCTCATCTAAAAATACACAGCTTGAATATACTGAAAACAAAAGCGTGGGACGAAAGCTGGAAAATACACCATCCAGTGGAGTTGTCTACTAAATGTTAGTGTTGAAAAGTGCTGAAAAAGAGATCCATCGATTCAAGGGTAACATTTACATAGATTGCATTTAATATCCACCCAAAGAATAACATTTATATTCTCCGCCATTCACGAGATTACCATGACGCATGCGTGAGCATCACTCTCTGCTGGTAAACAAGGCACAGCGCATCCATGTTCTACGTCAGAACACCGGCTCCTTCGTCAGCAGTACCACACCACACAAATTTTACACAAAATGTACCCTGTCGAGGAGTTGCTGCTTGAACGTTTCAATTTGAATATTGAAAAGTTATGTGAATGTTGTAGCAATGCCAAATAATCTGTGACTCGTCTTTTTTGATTGTATCTATTCAAAAATGTTTGAATTTCATTTCTAGGTTGTTTGGAACATGTATACAAATTTATCTGTATGATGTCGTTTTTTATTTTTTTGTACAGGACAATGTTGATTCCAAAAGTACGATGTGCTTCCTTATACAACTTTTTATTTTACTTGGAAAATATCACATTCATGTGAAAAAATTTATTAAAGCTAAGCTAAGCTAAGAAAGTGTTTTTGGTTTTATGTCAATGTTTTATGATACATGATATACAGTATTATATTTGTTTTAACTGTATAAATTTGCAGTTTAAATAATATTCATGAAAAATGTAATGAAATTAAAACATATATAAACCATTATTCAGCAAAAAAGAATGGAATAAATAAAAGCACAAGTTGTTGGAATGTATGTATAAGGTGTCAATTATAAGTACTGTGTTAAAGCTTATAATAGCACCAATTGAATCAACACAAACAACATTTCTGAGGAAAAATATTAACTATAAGTAAGCTTACACTTATTCTAAGTTAGATCCACTATTGTATGCTGTTGCCGTATGGCAACATATAAAGTACCTTAAAATAATATTTTTTCCAAATTTTTTTTTTACAGCACTTCAAGTAAAGCCATTTGCCGGTTAGAAAAGTGTCCGAGTTACGTCCGACTTGCTCTGAGGTCATGCTGACGTGTGCCAAAAAACTCTCGACGGCGAGGCGGCTGTGTCGGATTGTGCAGTCCAGCAGTTGCTCTCCACCGACTGCGCTGATCAAAAGCATGATGCGAAACGATTGACTGACGACACAGTTTCTATAGGTCTATCATAATGATGCCAATGTATTTTTCGACGAGTCGCTATGTTAGCAATAATAACGTTACCTGCTTGACGGAAAGGGTTGCCAGGTGTTTTACAACAAAACCCTCCCAATTACTACCCAAAACTTGCCCAAACTAACCGCGTTTCGAGGGGGTACCCCAGAAAAAAGCGCGTTCCGGGGGCTAAAATACACGCTATTGGGGTCGCTTCACCCCGCGGCAGCAGTGATAAAGTAGCCCAATTCCACAGGAAACCCACGGACTTGGCAACACTGTGACGGATAGTAACAGGCTTGTTTGAGATGAGCAAAATCTGCGCAGAACCGATCATCGGTGATCACCGCGAGATGCATGCCGGTTAGAAAAGTGTCCGAGTTACGTCCGACTTGCTCTGAGGACATGCTGACGTGTGCCAAAAAACTCTCGACGGCGAGGAGGCTGTGTCGGATTGTGCAGTCCAGCGATCAAAAGCATGATGCGAAACGACTGACTGACGACACAGCTTAATGCTCATTGGTTCAAACAACTGTGATGCTGGGTTCTCTTCTAAAATATTTTATTTTTTATCTGATTTCATGTGATTATGTATTTATGCATGAATGTTCCCAAACACTATGACAACGCGATCTCTGTGAGAGACAATGTGATTGCTGTCATATTTCTATAAAAAATCTAAAATACATGTTTTGTAATGATAAATACACCTTTTGTTAGGGATGGGCGATGCCACTTATTTTGTTTTCGATACGATACCGATATTTTTCAAGGCAGTATCGTCGATATCGATACGATACTTCTGAACTAAACTTTTAAATTATGAAATTTATTCAATTACTAAGAGTAAAATGGGTAATGATAACCACTTAACTTTGTTTAAAACACATTTTAACATTCAATATGCCTTAATTGTAACTTATTAGGTTATCTTTTTGTTTTGTTCAAATATGTTTTTTGTTTACACATGGTTCGAATCTACAAATCCTACAGTTGAACTACGGTCACTTTAGTAAAACCATGGTTCATTTTCATAAAGGACTGCCAGTGACAGGCTGTTGCATGCATAAAATGCAACCTTTTTTGACAGTGTATGATTTATATTAATATGATCAATATTATCTTTCAACGTTCATTTTCAATAAATGTAATTGCACAAACTATGTAGGCTAATTTCAATTTGTTTATTGTGAAATAACTCAAACATATATGTTTTTTTTCTTCTGTCCTCTGATAAGCATTGTTCAGGGCTGCCGTTCCCAAAAGCTTTAATGCTGTCTTATGATACTTTTGGGAAACGCAGCCCTGTTTGAATGCAGTGTCAGCAGTGAGTGAACGCTCTCTGTGATGGATTGGTTCAGATGAGCAGGAAAATAGTTCTATCCTACACAATTATTTACTAACATAGGTTATTCGTCCAATTAAATGCCTTATTTATTTGTTAAATAAACAAAATCACTGGTAAATAAAACGCACCTTAGTATCGATATTTATTGTTTGAGTATCGATACTTTCGATACTCGCATCAGTGTCGATATATCGATACTTCGGATCGATACGCCCATCCCTACCTTTTGTATGGAATTAAATAGCAAGCACTTTGAGTGTCTTGTTCATCATATTTATTTTCCTATAAAAGCAACAGAACTGAAATTATATCATGTTTATTAGCAACACAACATGTACTTGTTCATCATATTTATTTTCCTATAAAAGCAACAGAACTGAAAGTATATCATGTTTATTAGCAACACAACATGTGAGTGGGAATAACGCGATATCTGCCTTTGATCTCGTTGGTATCTGTTCCACTTCGAGAGGGCAGAACTGTCCGTCTTGACTGTGCTTATTTCACTCCTCCCCTAACTGCAGCCGCCTACCAGTGTTGCCAACTGCTTTCAATTGAAAGTAGCTAAAACTGGTAGCTAAATGTCACTAGATGACATCACAATGGCAAATTCACTGATCTATATAAAGATGAATATAGATCAGTGGGCAAGATGAGAACTTAGATAAGGTTTGTCCAAGCAGTTGCTATATTTGTCCCTAAACTTTTGAAAAAAGTCTCAAAAGGGGCGGGGAAGTCGCTAAATCTAGCTACAAAGTAGCTAAATTGGCAACACCTTCATTTCAGGCGAGGCGCATCTCAAACAAGCCTAATATAATTTGCCAAATGTTCCGCCCCTTCTTCCCCCTCATTGGAGAAAAATCACGTTCAGAAAAAGGCGCTTGGGATGACTTTCTTTTAGCCTAATAATTTTACATTTTTACAATGTTTTTGTAATGTATTAATTATCACGGGATGTAATAAAAAACAATTAGTTCTATACTAATACTAAGAGTAAATATGGTTCGAATAGTCTATATTTTAGTAGGCTATAAATATGTGGCTATGTTACATACAGCTCCCTTTTGAAGCTCTTGTGCTTTTCCCCTTTTCCATCTCTCCAATCCTATTCTGCACACAGGTGATTGGAGATGACCTTTGTTCCCCCTTTTGTTGCAGTTTGCTGGTTTTTGTAACATAGTTAATTGTTTTTCAGATAAAAGAGTGGTTTCAGTTTAATATGCTGCAGGCTAATTGATTGGTAATAAATAATTGATAATAAATAGATATTCAAATCATCAAAAAAATATTGGGCTTGTTTTTAAAGCTCCGGTTGCTTATTTGTCTCGCGAGATTTGGCAACAGTGCACCACACGCATGCATCGCGGTACTCTTGTGAATGGCCGCGGAGACTGACACGGAAGAGAAGAAATCATTGAATAAGTCATTATTTTTGTTTTCTTTGTGCACAAAAAAGTATTCTCATAGCTTCATAAAAATACCGTTGAACCACTGATGTCACATGGACTATTTTAACGATGACTTACTATGTTTCTGGGCTTTGAACTTGGTAGTTTCCTTGCAGGGTCAGAAAACTCTCAGATTTAATCAAAAATATCTTAATTTGTTTTTTCCGAAGATGAACGAAGGTCTTACAGGTTTGGAAGGACACGAGGGTGAGTAATTAATTAATTTTTAGGTGAACTATCCCTTGAAGATTGTATGTAAACATTACCTGAAAGACTACATATAATATTAGTATTAGAAATGTAATTTGTCATACTGCAGGAGATCTTTAAATGTAACTAGAGAAGGTTAAAAACAAAAAGCCTAAAAGAAATGACAAGTTACAGGACCTACACAGTAAGATATACACTTTCCCTTAAATATTCATATAAATGTTAAACTTAAATCTTGAAATAATAAACATTTTTTATTATTATATTTTAGTAAATAATTAATTATTATTAGTAGTAGTAGTAGTAGTAATAATTAGTAGTGGTGCTAATAACATTAAACAACAAGACAACAAGTTGGTCATATGCTGTCAACATGGCAACCCCATAAGGGGGCGACTTGCTCCATGTAAAATAAACTGATATGACTGAAATCTACATAATCAATATAAAGTGCATGCATATCGTTTAACTATATATGCACACATATATATGTACACATATTTCTCAAAAGTGCTATTTATTTCTTTATGTATGAACCTTTTGTAATGAGCAAAAAGTCTCAAGTGTATTGATATAAAGTTGCTATTTTATGAAGTTATTACTTTAATACCATCATCAAATCAACATAGGTTTATAGGCCAATAAAATGTATTACATGAATTGTCTTAAATGTAAATCTGGAAACTTTAGACACATTACCTGACAGGAGTGGGTGTCGGGCCCTTAACATGCCTCACAGGAGAGGGAGACTGCTGGCGAGCAGCTGACACTTTAGTCACTTGTGAAGGGGGGGATTTGGAGGTTGGTTTAGGCGGCACACGAGGTGGAGTCTTATGTGCCAGCTGTTTGGTCACAACCCCACCCTCTACTTGCATGTGCATCATGGCTGTGGCCTCATAATGAGCTTCCATCCTCTGTTAGAAAAAAAACATAATTTACGCATTGATCTAAAGGGTTAATGAGACTTGTGTTGCTTTCTGAAAGACTGCTGAGGCTTATTCAATGTTGAGACTGTCACTCACCTTCTCCACTCTAGTCTGTCGGGTCTGTGAAATCTGAGAAGCTGAAATAATAGTTTTTGGCTTCTTTGCAGGTACAGCTTCTTCTTCGCCTGTGAATTATTAATGGAAATCTTGTCCAGGCATTTTTTTCATAAAAATAAAAATGCATGCAACAAACGTTCACCAGCTAAAAATCTTACCCTGAACGAGCAACTCAGCAGTTGAAGTTGCACGTCCACTGCTGTTAGAAGCACTGACGGAATAAGTTCCAGAATCTTCTGGGAAGGCCTCGGCAATCAACAAACTGTAAAGGTCTCCGTCTTGAACAATCTGAAAGTCAGCAGAGCTCTGAATCTCAGCTCCCTCTCTGTAGAACTTCACCACAGGTGCAGGGATTCCTGTCACTCGAACATCTAGTCTCACTTGGCTCCCTTGTCTCACAGTCATACTCTGTAGTCTCTGAATGAAGTTTGGTGGTGCAGTTTCAGCTGGAAGTGAATAGATGATTAAAGCCATTAAGTCATTTTTCTGAAATGTAACAGAACAGTTTCACACATTCTATTTTATAGGATAAAATAAACCTTGCCTTGCACACACAAAAAAATGCTGGGTTGTTTCAACCCAACTTTGGGTCAAATATGGACTAACCCAACTTTTGGGTTAAAAATTTTAATGTAAAAATGTAACCCAACAGTTATAGCTCCACTGGGTGTTAGGCCAAAACATTTCGGTCTCATATCAACTGACAGCTTATGGGACATGACAGTAACAACTGGTGCCTGTGGCCCGCAGTGAGATCTTTTTCCGGCATGACGCATAATTAAGAATAGCCCTCCAGTTATAAGTCAGACAGTCCTGTATCATCAAATCTTGTCTCGACCAAAAACTAATCTAAATCAGTGGCTTACGCATCTTAATTCAACTTGTGATTCATTGTCAATGCTGAATTGAACAACTGGTCTTCTGCCAAGCAATACTAAGATTTTATTCATAAACATACTACATAATCACATAATCTTAAACTGTAAGGTTTAAATGCTCTGCATTTAAGATTCACAAGTATTGACTGTCTGAAGAAGAAAAAAAGTTATTTGAATAAGATAACTTATAATTAGAATTTAAAATGGCTGACAGGAACTGCTAGATGCATGACCTTTACCTAAAATAGATAGAACAACTGTGACTGAACTGAATTCAGATATAGTTCATATGGAAGTAATTATATTACTGTAAAAGTACTGCTATGTTTGTATATAATAAACAGGGTAGTTACCTGGATAGCTATCACTAAATAGTTTGATACTACATACAGTATCTTAGATCATTTACATAATTAAATTAATAAAGATAAACCAAAATGAAAACTTCAAATGAAAGCATTGCTTTGAAATATACAACCACAACATCATCTCTGTACTTTTATTGCACCTTTTAACAAGACTAGCACTTCATGTTTCAGGCAGAATAATTTGACATACATTATCATTTATTCAATTGTCTAAAAATAAATGATATCATCCTGTGAACGGCTTAACCATAGCAATAATTTAAAAGTACAACCAAGTTCACCAATCTCACAAATAATTCTTGTAGACGTTAGCAAACACCCCATATATCAACTTCAAGAACCACAACCTGAAAATCACAGACTTCAGATCCTCAGTACAACAAGGCTGAAGTTTCTAAAAACAACTTTAAGAAAATCCATTTAAACTGCAATTAATGTCCTAAGCACACGAAATCCAGTGTGGCAAAAGGAATCCTCTAAAAATAGTCAGTACTAAGCTTGATTGACAGTCACCATGTGGCACATAGCTGGCGGTGCAACTGATATCTCTGCTGTTGATTCCCTTAAAAAGACATCATGGCCCAGCTGGGTCACCACTCTAATGTTATCACAGGCTATTCTTGGCTATTCTGAAATCACTGCACCATTTAATAACCTTTAGAAATGAAACCTCTTAAGTCAAAAGCAAATGAAAATGTATTCTAATTGCTTAAAATCTGTCCCCTTCCGCTATTCTTGGCTATTCTGAAATCACTGCACCATTTAATAACCTTTAGAAATGAAACCTCTTAAGTCAAAAGCAAATGAAAATGTATTCTAATTGCTTAAAATCTGTCCCCTTCCTACTAAATCTCTCAAAGTGAACATCAAATTTGGTATTGCCACTCTGTTTATTTGTTAGAAGCACACAAAAAAAGCATCATTAGAAAGCATTGCACTGACACATGGGTACAAGAGCACAAAGCGTACTTACTTGTATCCACAAGAGTGCCTTGAATTGGAGGGACAGAGCCCAAAGTGTTTTGTCTTCTGAAACAAAGTCCTTATCCAGATATGATTTCAGAAAACACAGTGTGAGAACGGTTGAGCCTCGAACTATCCCCAAAAAACAAAACTACACAGGGTCTTATCCGTGTAGTTTTGCTAGGTAAGAAAGAGATGGTTCTTTAAAGAACCTTTGACTGAATGGTTCTTTGTGGAACCAAAAATGGTTCTTCTATGGCATCGCTTGAAGAACCTTTTGAAGCACCTTTATTTTTAAGAGTGTACACTAAAATTAGATTTAAAAATTTTGTTAAACCTGCATATACTTGTAAATGTTTTTTGCTTTGACTTCCTGGGTAAGGGGCTGGGATTCAATGCTTTATTAAAGGGGTCAGATGCCCCCAAAGCCCCCATATTTCAATCCCCTGTCAATACAGTGCCACCTTTCAAGCACTGTAAAAAGGTGACACACATTCCTTTCCATAAATTCCCCCTAGCAATGGTAGCCTGGATGTGTCATTTAACAGTATCACTGGAGATCTTTACCACTTTCTATAAGAAGTAACAGTCATTCACTTTTGAGTCCAGTAGCACAAATTTTAATTGTATTTTGGCAGGAAAACTTATGAGTGTTTTTTTCCCCCTCTCCAATGACAATAGCTAAAATCAAGTTGCATGTTATGTTGTGAATCCCTACACCCGAGGCAAGGCTGGGAATGCTCCAACTGCTCAGAAGTGTTAACATGGTGGTTTTACTTTATATACCCCTTGGTTAATCAGCATCATCGCTACATTGCCGTGCCCCATTGGTCGTCCCCCATGAGGCATCATGGGAGGTAGAAGTCATTTCATACAAGCTCACACCTGTCACCCACTTTACTTTACACAACACAGGACGGCTGAAACCCCCACACCTAAAGAAACAGGAAAATGCCCCTCAGAAAGAGAGAAATCTTCACTTGCTTTATCTCATAAATGAATCAATCACTGTAATAACATGTTGATCCTCAAGAAGTGAAACGCCAAATGGGGGAGAAGGGCTGTCACTGTCACTCAGACTCTGGGTGTTCGAGATAAACGATAAACAGTGTTTACCCATCTGTCTTTCTTTCTTTTATCTGTACAGTGAGGCAAATTGCAGAGGATTGTTAATGCTTTGAAAAACAGAAGTTGATATTATATTATTAACGTTACCGTCATTGTGGGACCAAGTTGGTTTTGCAGCAAAAATAAAAAAACTGACAGAGGAGACGGTGTTAAAGATAGGCAGTGACATGTAAGAGTGGAATGCATGCCTAGTGATAGCACTGACAAGGACTTTTGTGAGACAACAATCTAATGACAAAATGTGACAGCTTTAACTATAACAAATCATATAGCTTGATATAACTAATTTGTCTTCATTCATACCTCATACATAAACACTTACATATATAAAGATCAATTCATGATGAATTTGACAAATTTGTCTGCATTCAGCAACAAGCACTGAACAACTTAGTCACAGCTGTTTTTAAGTTGTTTATTTTTGTTCAGAATGTGCATATGACATTTATTGGTATTGGATAAGGAATGCTTTTGCAAGGCAATGTATACCAACTTATCAGTAGCAAACAACAGTGTTACAGATATTATAATTAGGAATAATTGACAAAGAATGAGAAGATCAGGCTTGGTGAACTCTGATATCCAAAGTTTTCCCCCTAAACAGTATCTGATGAGTGATAATGGGTTTTCCAGATCGTTCTCATACAGTATGTTCCATAATCAGTGGCCTTTATTATGGTTTTGGCTTCTGTTAAATTTTTTTTATTTATTTATTTGAATGTGTCTATTGTACCAGTGGACACATTTTCTTCCTTCCATTATGTCCCTCTCAAAAGTATGGTGACAATGTCACAATTGCAGAATGCTAGTGGTTTCAGACTTTGTATGCTGTTTGACTCACTTGGCTCTTATCACATGCTGCAACCTTATAATCTTTCTTGCATAGCATTTGAGAATAAGTGCAGTGTGAGCCGAGGTCTTCTTCCACTAATACTTTTTGTTCATCCGGTCTGGAGAGGAAGTGTGGAGTGACCCTGTGCACTGAGGAAATCAGGTTACATTGTGATTTACTGCACTGAAAAGATGAAGCAGGAATGAGCACATCATTATCTCAAACAAAAAACGGGCTAACAAAGCTTTTATAATTCAAAAAGGGTTGTCATACTCCAGCTTGAGCCTCAATAAGCATGCATTGGTCTTTCAAAGCTGCCTTTATTGTTTACTGTTGGGAAAGAAAAGCAGTAAGTAAAGAAGTAAAGTTAAAAGTATAGGGCCCATGTCTGTGTGACAGCTGTTTCTGAATCGGGTGTGGAATGACGCCTCAGACAACTTCTCAGTAGGGCGACATAGCAGGGAAGCAAAGGTGTAACCTGAGAGCCCTGAGTTATGCTGTGTGTGATAACATATATAACTGTGTGATTTAGTTATCTTATCATCGTAATCATGAAAAGTTCAGTAAATATAACAAAACAGAACAAATGTTAACACCAGATGTAAAGTTCCCCTAAAATGCAAAATTCTGTCATCACAATTATATTTCTGTTGAACACAAATTAAGGTATTTGGAAAAAATGTCTCTGTTTTTATTTGATTTGATCTCATTTAGTTTAATTGTACGGCCAAAAAACAACAACAACAAAACTATATATGCATGTGTGTGTGTGTGTGTGTGTGTATACTGTATATATATATATATTTATTTATTTATTTATTTTTTGGACATGAGGGAAAGTAAATGATGCCCGAATTTTCCTTTTTGAACCATTTAGAAATGGGTTTGTTTAAAATGAACACACAAACTCTTTTAAAATAAATAATTTAATTGTAAAATGCTGACCAAGGCTTCATTACCATCACAAAGGGAACTGCATGCAGATCCACGGCTACTTCCATAATATAATTCCATAATAAAAATACAAAATAAGTCAGTTGCTGTGTGTGATAACATATATAACTGTGTGATTTAGTTATCTTATCATCGTAATCATGAAAAGTTCAGTAAATATAACAAAACAGAACAAATGTTAACACCAGATGTAAAGTTCCCCTAAAATGCAAAATTCTGTCATCACAATTATATTTCTGTTGAACACAAATTAAGGTATTTGGAAAAAATGTCTCTGTTTTTATTTGATTTGATCTCATTTAGTTTAATTGTACGGCCAAAAAACAACAACAACAACACTATATATGCATGTGTGTGTGTGTGTGTGTGTATACTGTATATATATATATATATATTTATTTATTTATTTTTTGGACATGAGGGAAAGTAAATGATGCCCGAATTTTCCTTTTTGAACCATTTAGAAATGGGTTTGTTTAAAATGAACACACAAACTCTTTTAAAATAAATAATTTAATTGTAAAATGCTGACCAAGGCTTCATTACCATCACAAAGGGAACTGCATGCAGATCCACGGCTACTTCCATAATATAATTCCATAATAAAAATACAAAATAAGTCAGTTCATGCTGAATTTGAATATTGCAAAACATTGTTATAGTGATTTTAGTGTTCATAGCCAAAATGAACAAATCTGTGCGTAGTTGATGCATGTCAATTATTTAAAAAAAAAAACAATTAACAACAAAAATGTATGTTAACATTTATGAGTGTATACTGTATATAAAATATATATTTAGGTCCTGTGCCTAACCACCATTTCAAAACACTTTTTGCCTTCACAAGTTCACCGAAAGGTCCTACAGTGTGACAGATTAATTTCTAAAACTACAAATATTCAAATGTAGTCTTTCAAACAATATCATAAGAGCTGCATGCATCATAATTCTAAAATAATTACTAAACTGCTAGTTTAGAATAGTTTTAGATGAAGTTTCATATCAACTACCCATGTGCTCTAACATTTGTGCAGTCACCAAAGACAGTTAATTCTGTGCACACCAATGGTTATGTGATGTGAAGAAAGTTTAAAAGTGAAGAGTCCACGTTCCATGTGTTTTTCCTTATGTTAATGGCAGTGTCCATTATAACAACAGCAGATAGAGAAGCCACAAGAAGAAACAGAGGGTGCCGAAGCAGGTGTGCCAGTCCAGTTTGAGAATGTCTAAGTCAGGGCTGTTGTTACCTTTGACCTGCAGCATGGAGCTGGACGTGACAGTGCCAGCTGAGTTTGAGGCAGTGACCACATACTGCCCAGAGTCTCTCACTGCAGAGCTGTGAATGAACAATGCATGTTTGCCTTCTTTATGGGATAGTTCTATGTGCTCATCATTGGCCAGTTTGTGTCCATTCTTGAACCTGAACAAAGAGTGAATTATTATGTGTCACAATCACACCACAGCATAAAACCATAGGGGGTACACTTCTTTTCACATGTATTTTCCACTAGACATCAAAATTACAACAATGGTTGAATCAAGGATACAGTTGCAGCCCATGCATACAGATTTTATCCAGACTTGACAATATAAATGAAAGCAGAAAAACAGTTGCAATACTCACATACAAACTTGAACCAAAAAGGGGGGGGGGGGGGGGGGGGGGGGGCATACATTAATACACACTCAATGAAAGAGAAATTAGAGGTAATGTTAAAGTGGAAGGTCCTACAGAAGTTACATAAAAAGGAAGGTTTAGAGAAAGGACTTGTGGATTAATAAGTAATAAGTTAGTATACATGGAATATATGCATGACAGTGGAAAAAAATAGTTCAAATGAAATGAGATCAAAATTAATGGAGAAAACATCAACTTTCCTCAACAAACCTGCTTCATGCAGGCAGACAACAATATATATGTATATATTTGTTAATCTATCTGAACTACAAATACTATGCTTTGTGATTAAGTTTTTAACAACTGGAATATCGATCAGTATGTTTTATAATGAGAATTTGCCACCAATTTAGATACAATAGCATTAAGATTATTAATAATCCCTATATATTACACTACCGTTCAAAAGCTTGCTGCTGGTACAATTTTATTTCGTTAAAAAGAAGTCTCTTATGCTCACCAAGGCGGCATTTATTCGATTTATTTGATTTAAAAAACTGTAAAAACATTAATATTGTGACATATATTACAAATTAAAGTAACTATTTTCTATTTGGATATATTTTAAAATAGAATTTATTCCTATAATGGCAAAGCTAATTGTTAAGCAGCCATTACTCCAGAATTACATGATCATTCAGAAAACATTTTAATATGCTGATTTGTTGCTCAAGAAAGAAAGATTTGGTGCTTTCTTATTACTTACTGACCCATTTGAACAGTAGTAAATATCATATTGTATTATATTATTTAAATGTGTAATAACGTATATTATTAATAGATATTAATATTCATATAAAATATTATATAAAGAAATAATGCCTAGTTTCTCCTCCAATTAGCAAAGAATGTTTTAAATTATGGGTCAAGTTTGTTATAAGCTACCCACCAGGTTAACGTAGGCTCAGGGAATCCAGTGACTTCCACCTCCAGGGTCACCGGAGAGCCCTCCATTACTGTGGCATTAGACAAGGGTTTGGAGAAGTTAGGGCCTGTGCCGCCTGCCAATTTTCCCATAACCTTTTTGGAAGATGCCCACCTGATCTCTTCTCGGATGGCTGTGGGCTTGCAGAGATCCGAGTCCTGTTCTGTGGTTAATTGAGTAGGGGTAGCATGCGTGTTATTGGGCCGACCTAGACTCGTACTTGAATCATGCACACACTTTTGCATCTCGGTACGACTCTCATGCACTGAGTGAAGTGTTTCAGTGATGCTGCTTGGTGGTGGGTTGCCAGATTTGCTTTTTAAGATGCTGGATATGGTGTTTGATACAAGGCTAGGGGCAGGTACTGTGAGGGGGCTTTGAACAAAAGAGGACGACTCTGCTCTGAACCTGGCCCCCAAGCCAGTGGTGGGAGATGGATAGCTCTCGGCCTGACTCGACATCCACTCCCGCTGCCTCTGGTGTAGTGTGTCGCCGTGCTGGGAGTGAGACTGGTGGCTGTACTGGTTAATGCGAGGGCTGTGAGAGCTCACGCAATAGCCGTCATCAAGGTCATTTTCTGACTGAATAATGTTGGATTCTGGAGTCTCGGATAAAGGAGGTAGGGAGATGTCATCTGGGGAGGTGCATTCGTACTCATCATTGGAGAGCGATTCCTCAGTGAGATGGTCAGGCTGGAAGTCATCTTCAGGTACAGGAGCTGATGGCTCTGGTGTCGCATGTGGTAAATATTCCTCCTCTAAAGAATGATGAGCAGAATTCTAGAAACGAAAAGAACAGAAAATCTGTAATTATCCCTGTAATATCATTTTGTGTTGCCATTTTTTGTTAGTTAGCATTTAAAAGTACCATTAAAAAATGCACTAAACACAAAAATCTGCTTTAAAATATTAAGCAATTAAGTGTTTTTCGAGCTTAAATATATTATACTGATATACAAAATATACAATTATTCTATTAAAAATATTTCATGTGATTAGTGTATAATTTATAAAGAGTATATGCATTTTACATGTCCACAGAAGCAATAGAAATGATTTAAAATATTTCTAAAGTCAAGATACTGATGTAAAATGTAAGTTTTAAAAATGCATATAAAATTCATGTATAAATGTATAATTTAACAAATGGCAACAAATACATTTATAATGTATATAAAGGAACAAAATGTCTATATTTATAAGGAACACAAAATATCTAAGCAACAATACTGTTTTCAACATTGATAATAATTAGAACTGTATCTTGAGCACCAAGTAAGCATATTCCATCACAAGAATAAATTAAATTTTGAAATATATTAAAGTAGAAAACAGTCATTTTAAAATGTAATAATATTTCATTTAAAATTTTTACTGTATTTTTGATCAAATAAATGCTGTGTAAGTGACTTCTATCATATTACAAAACAGTAATTTTAACCAATACAGCAATTATTAGTTTCCGTAAATATTTTCCTGTCACACCACTTATTTACCACAAAATAACAGTGAACTATAATTTTAATTGACAAAACAAACACAACCTGACTTTTTAGAGGAGCCAAAACACACATAAGAGACGTATTTAATACGCATTTAATTTGATCGTGTCATAAAAGTCATATTTGTTGATTGTTGAATGTAGCCATTTTGGTTTTAAATGTTCTATCCTATCACATATTCATATTATCCCAACATATTTACTTACCTCGTAATGTAATTTAATAGCACTTTCAAAATAGGCCTATTCTTTGTCTAAAAAAAAGATTAAAATCTTACCAACTTGAAATTTGCTAAATAAACAAATAAATGGGAAATGGCTCACCTTGGAATATGAGTGAAAAGGATGATTTCTACTACAAGCCTGATTCTTGTCCTCAGAGTTGGTCTTCTGAACAGCACACTGCAGCTCCCTTTGGATGTCTATGATGCTGGGGCGTGATACGCCTGGATCCCGCGGAGGTGGGGTTTCTTGTGAGTCTTTCTTGGTTTGCTGCAGAATGTGACTCCTCTTATCCCACTCTGCTGGGGAATGGCTTACATTAATGGTGTGGGAGTGAGAGAAAGAGGTGTGCATCTCTTCTCTCCTCTCTATAGTAGATTTGCTCGTGATGGTCTCCGCTTCGCTGGTCTTGGAAAAGGCCTCCTGTGTGTACAACCTGGTCTCTGACAGCACTTTTTGATGCTCTGGATGATGTTTGTCTGGGAGATCTTGGCATTGTGTCTTGCGAAGCTGAGGTTTCTTGTTTTCTGGATTCTTGCCGACAGGCATCTCTTTAGTACAGTGTGGGCCTGTCATCTCAGGGGTATGTCCACTTTCCTTTGGTTCAGGCTGAAATGGTAACGAGAAAAAGCTATGGCTTAGGGTTGGGTGATTTGTTTGAATATTCATGATACATTTGCAGTGTTTTTGCTGATTATATAAAATTAAACAACACTGAATAATGCTTTAAATGCTCTCTTTTTTGTTTACTTTGTTTCCTTAAGACGGTTAATACACTGGTTTTATGCTCCTTGTCTTGTAATTCAGCTTGAGAGTTTGTATGTGAGTGTGATTCATTTCTGTGAATATGTTTAATGAATCAATTCAAAACTCTAATAATGATTCTTTCAGATCATATACATCAAATATTCACATAATTATGTTATATTATTATTATATTTTTACTATATTTTATTGAAATTGAACTTTAATTGTAATTTACCGCAATAAAAATTTTGGATGAGCAATATAAAGGATTATGTATTTCTGCCATCTTTGCAATTGCAAGTCAAAGTGTTATTGGTGTTTACCGTATCAATGGTGTCCCGTTTGTTGTTGTCTTCAGGTGATAGAGGCTGTTTCAAGGTCTCCAACTACATAAAGAATTCATATAAAAATATTAGTAGAACTATATTTTAAATGGTTAGATATATATAACTCTCAGATTAATGTACCAAGTAAAATAATTATGTTTGACGTTTTCATCACCTGAAGTTTGGCCTCAAGGTCCAGCAGTCCATTTGACAGTTCTTTTATTGATTCCACAATTTCATGGTGTTTGTTGATTGTTTTCTCCATATATTTCTTTCCTTCTTCAGCACCTACATTAAAAACAGCAGTCATGCTTTGAGGCCAGCAACACTACTACAACTTTATAAATAAACATTATTATCCCTTAACATTATTTATGTAACTTTTTATTGGAAGTTTCACATTTGAAAAGAGCATGTCCACTTTGTGAAAGCACAGTATGTTAAACTAGTAATTCTAGGTTTTGAATGGGTCAGAGAAACATAAGGGGTTTTAAGTGGTTAAGACAATTAATTTCAAAATTGCTGCTATTACTTTTATACTTATATTTCAGAATGCATTCTTAATTTCTCACCATGTAGCCTTACTGCCAGCTCTGTGATCTGGCTAATTCTCTCCTCTTGCTGTGGGATTGTGGGCCACACAAATTTTTCAAACTGTTTGTAGAGAGAGCTGACTGCTTCCTTAGTCTTACACTGAGATGAATATTTACCCACACGTACAATTGTGGAGCTTGCTTCGTCGCACCAGAACTGATACTGTGTTTAAAATGAAAGGTGAGAGGAGAGACTATTTTCAGAGACTATTTATAGCCATTTACTGTGATACTGCTTTAGAGTCATACATGAGCAAAGCATATTCAATTTGTTTTCTACTTAATTTAGCAGCATTATCAATGGAATGATCTGAAAGTCAACAGAAATACAAGTAAAATTGCTGCTGAATTGTTATAGTAGCTCCTATTGGCTCATTACATGTTCCTGGCATACCCCACCTCCTCTAAGGCTTGCTGGAGCTTGACATTCATGTCCAGGTTCTGTTTGTACTCCTCCACCGCCCTGTCAAAATCGCCCACCTGTCTCTGCAGCTCATTTAAGGCATCCTCAATCTCTCTGAGGCTGTTGCCAATTAAATGCCTCTCACTGCTGCTGGATACTTTCAGAGTGAAGGCTTGCAGCTTCTTCTTCAAAACCTACAACAGGTTTTTTGGATATTACATTTTATAAATAGACTACTGTTAAAACATTAAAAGACAAAGAAATCTTTTAATAAAAAAAAAGAGTGAAGATCCTCAAAATACATATACAGTATATATATATATATATATATATAAACTAGAAAGAAGATTAAAAGAAAGCCTCCTTACCTGTAGTTTTTCAATGTAAATCTCAATTTGCTGGATCTGATTTTTCACTGCCTTTAAGTTTCTCGACTTCTCATTTTTCTTCATGTAGTTGAATTTCAAATTGTTGAATTTCTTTTTGAGATCTTTAAAGGACTCTCTCAGCTTAAAAAAAAAAAAGGAAAAATGTTAATGTAGCAATAGAAAATCATGCAAAGAACCACTGAAAGACAGCTAACAGTTAAAGGGATAGTTCACCCAAAAATGAAAATTTGATGTTTATCTGCTTACCCCCAGGGCATCCAAGATGTAGGTGACTTTGTTTCTTCAGTAGAACACAAACAAAGATTTTTAACACAAACCGTAGCAGTCTGTCAGTCACATAATGTAAGTGAATGGAAATCACGGCTTTGAGAGTCAAAAAAACATACACAAACAAAACCAAATTAAACCCTGCGGCTCGTGACGATACATTGATGTGTAAAGACACGAAACGATCGGTCTGTGCAAGAAACTGAACAGTATTTTATTATATTTATATATTATATTTACTGCAATGTCCGAACTGTCCTGAGCACGTCCTGAGCATGTTCGCGTCTTCTTCTTCAGCTGGTGCGTGGCTATAAGTCTGCGATCCGCCGTAAAGCAAGAAGAAGAAGATGCGAATGCGCTCAGGACAGTTCGGACATTGCAGTAAATCAAAGGTAAAAACTATATAAATACTGTTCAGTTTCTTGCACAGACCAATCGTTTCATGTCTTTACAAATCAATGTATCGTCATGAGCCGCAGGGTTTACTTTGGTTTTGTTTGTGTATGTTTTTTTGACTCTCAAAGCCGTGATTCCCATTCACTTACATTATATGATTGACATACTGCAAAGGTTTGAGTTAAAAAATCTTCGTTTGTGTTCTACTGAAGAAACAAAGTCACCTACATCCTGGATGCCCTGGGGGTAAGCAGATAAACATCACATTTTTATTTTTGGGTGAACTATCCCTTTAAAGAAGAAAATAGTGATCATGATCATGATCATGCTCAAAAAAAAGGTGAAAGTATCTCAAAAGTAATACATCCTGTTAATATTTCCTATGATGGCTTTGTATAAGGACTAAAATGTTTTTGTTTGTTACTGCTGAATAATGTGCTATTCTGAAGGCTAATGTGAAGGTTTCAGAGCATCACCAGAGGGGAAGATTTTCAGTGATTTAATTTGATCTATTCCTTTAAAACACCTCTCTAACAACACAGTGTCATCCTCTTCAACATGCTGATCAGGAAATGTGTAAGCAAATATAATAGCGTAATCAAATATTAGATTAGGTGTGGATGGATATGGGGAGGGTCTCTAGCAGAGGGCAGAGTGAGGTTCGGCTGAGACCAGGGAGATTATTTTAGAGGTATTAATTGTCAGACCAGTGGATGATTTATAATGCAGATCCATTTCTGTCCAGCCTGATGAGCTTTTGCAATGGTGTCGTGTCTCCAAATGACAGACTCAAGTGTCGCCAAAGGACAGCTGCAGCCCAGCGTCTAGAGCCAGTTAAAGAGGCCTCACAACTGTCTTACTGAACTTTTCCAACAGAGGGCTGTAGAGCAAGTTTCTGCTGCAGCCCAAACAGAGGGATGCGCGCGGAGGAAAATTCAGATACGTTCATACTGTATGACTTTCACATGGCTTAATTGTGCTCAGTTAACATTTATGGTGGCAGCTGTTTCTCAGTGCCTTGTGGTCTGTAAAACAAGGAATGAGGTGTCCCTGCAGACCAAACTGGCGAATCTGGTGAAATCATCACTGAAATTTTACTTCTAAATCAATTCATCTAAAAATATAAATGGATCAATGCGACTACGATAAAATAATAGCCATTTGTAGTCTATGAAAGCTGGACTGTGAGAGAGAAATAGAGACAGTGAGAGAAACAGTCTCACTTCTCCTCACAGATGAACAGCAGCAACTGTCCAAGCTGAAATGTCAGCTTGTTTACTCATGCATATTTATGACTGGGTGGTGGTTTGACTGGTATGACTGACAACATATGGTGACTCACATTGACAAGGAATTAGAAATGGTTGAGTCATGCCTTTTTCAAATGAACTATAAATGATCACAAATAATCATCTCACAAATGTGAAGAATCCTTTGAGTTTCTACTGTTGATTTTTGTTTTTCACTGTTGAACAGTAGTGTACACAACTCATTTCATAAAACAGCTTTGAAAGTAATGCCAGACTGACTGTAAGTACTGCTACTTTTAGATATGTCCTTGCTCTATTTAAAGTCTTGCAGCTGTCATACATTCTTATAGCATGACATCACGTGACATATGGAAACTTGGATATGTTTAAGAAGCTTTGAATTCTACTCTTATTGAAGAGTATGAATAAGACATTGAGCTTTACATAAAATGTAGGTGACTTTGTTTCTTCAGTAGAACACAAACTGAGATTTTTAACTCAAACCGTTGCAGTCTGTCAGTCATATAATGGAAGTGAATAGGAATCACGGCTTTGAGAGTCAAAAAACATACGCAAACAAAACCAAATTAAACCCTGCGGCTCGTGACGATACATTGATTGACACTCCTAATTGAGATTGTAGATAGAGTGTCAATGGTCCATTTGAGAGATAGGTGGCGGTAATGCACTTATAAGTCTGCGATCCGCCGTAAAGCAAGAAGAAGAAGATGCGAATGCGCTCAGGACAGTTCGGACATTGCAGTAAATCAAAGGTAAAAACTATATAAATACTGTTCAGTTTCTTGCACAGACCAATCGTTTCATGTCTTTACAAATCAATGTATCGTCATGAGCCGCAGGGTTTACTTTGGTTTTGTTTGTGTATGTTTTTTTGACTCTCAAAGCCGTGATTCCCATTCACTTACATTATATGATTGACATACTGCAAAGGTTTGAGTTAAAAAATCTTCGTTTGTGTTCTACTGAAGAAACAAAGTCACCTACATCTTGGATGCCCTGGGGGTAAGCAGATAAACATCACATTTTTATTTTTGGGTGAACTATCCCTTTAAAGAAGAAAATAGTGATCATGATCATGCTCAAAAAAAAGGTGAAAGTATCTCAAAAGTAATACATCCTGTTAATATTTCCTATGATGGCTTTGTATAAGGACTAAAATGTTTTTGTTTGTTACTGCTGAATAATGTGCTATTCTGAAGGCTAATGTGAAGGTTTCAGAGCATCACCAGAGGGGAAGATTTTCAGTGATTTAATTTGATCTATTCCTTTAAAACACCTCTCTAACAACACAGTGTCATCCTCTTCAACATGCTGATCAGGAAATGTGTAAGCAAATATAATAGCGTAATCAAATATTAGATTAGGTGTGGATGGATATGGGGAGGGTCTCTAGCAGAGGGCAGAGTGAGGTTCGGCTGAGACCAGGGAGATTATTTTAGAGGTATTAATTGTCAGACCAGTGGATGATTTATAATGCAGATCCATTTCTGTCCAGCCTGATGAGCTTTTGCAATGGTGTCGTGTCTCCAAATGACAGACTCAAGTGTCGCCAAAGGACAGCTGCAGCCCAGCGTCTAGAGCCAGTTAAAGAGGCCTCACAACTGTCTTACTGAACTTTTCCAACAGAGGGCTGTAGAGCAAGTTTCTGCTGCAGCCCAAACAGAGGGATGCGCGCGGAGGAAAATTCAGATACGTTCATACTGTATGACTTTCACATGGCTTAATTGTGCTCAGTTAACATTTATGGTGGCAGCTGTTTCTCAGTGCCTTGTGGTCTGTAAAACAAGGAATGAGGTGTCCCTGCAGACCAAACTGGCGAATCTGGTGAAATCATCACTGAAATTTTACTTCTAAATCAATTCATCTAAAAATATAAATGGATCAATGCGACTACGATAAAATAATAGCCATTTGTAGTCTATGAAAGCTGGACTGTGAGAGAGAAATAGAGACAGTGAGAGAAACAGTCTCACTTCTCCTCACAGATGAACAGCAGCAACTGTCCAAGCTGAAATGTCAGCTTGTTTACTCATGCATATTTATGACTGGGTGGTGGTTTGACTGGTATGACTGACAACATATGGTGACTCACATTGACAAGGAATTAGAAATGGTTGAGTCATGCCTTTTTCAAATGAACTATAAATGATCACAAATAATCATCTCACAAATGTGAAGAATCCTTTGAGTTTCTACTGTTGATTTTTGTTTTTCACTGTTGAACAGTAGTGTACACAACTCATTTCATAAAACAGCTTTGAAAGTAATGCCAGACTGACTGTAAGTACTGCTACTTTTAGATATGTCCTTGCTCTATTTAAAGTCTTGCAGCTGTCATACATTCTTATAGCATGACATCACGTGACATATGGAAACTTGGATATGTTTAAGAAGCTTTGAATTCTACTCTTATTGAAGAGTATGAATAAGACATTGAGCTTTACATAAAGAGACCCATGAGCTGCATGGGTTCAATACAATTCATGTATTTGTGTGAAATCTCCTCATGGAAAGATCAAATAATATTTGAGTATATTTGTTTAATTCAGTTCCCATCATTATTATTATGCTCTCTATCCATCTATCTGCAGAATGTGACACCTCAGCACAATTCACGAACCCTTCCAACATGTTATAGTTCCAAGCAATTATTAAAAAGGTCTAAAACTGTGGTTTTCAACCTTTTTGTCTCCAGTGACCCCCATTGTACACAACAATATTTGAAGGCTGCATGACTTCGCCAGTTTTTTTTTAATTTTTTTTAAAGGATTAGTTCACCCAAAAATGAAAATTAGGCTGCGTTTTACTCACCCCCGAGGCATCCTAGGTGTATATGACTTTCTTCTTTCAGACGAATCCAGTTGGAGTTATATTAAAAATTGTCTTTGATCTTTCAAGATGTTTAATGCCACTCAGCGGGTGTTGCATTGCTTCAGTCCAAAAGAACTTAAATAAAAATCGCCCATCCATAAAAAAAAAGTCTCACACGGCTCCAGGGGGTGAACAAAGGCCTCCTGTAGCGAATCGATGCGTTTTTGTAAGAAAAATATCCATATTCAAAACAACGTAAAAGTAAAACGCAGCCTAATTTTCATTTTTGGGTGAACTAACCCTTCAAGTTACCAGAATATGATTAAGCATAAGGCCTTTACTCACAATTTCTACCTGATAATATAGAAGTAGAAAAGAACTTAAATAAAAATCGCCCATCCATAAAAAAAAAGTCTCACACGGCTCCAGGGGGTGAACAAAGGCCTCCTGTAGCGAATCGATGCGTTTTTGTAAGAAAAATATCCATATTCAAAACAACGTAAAAGTAAAACGCAGCCTAATTTTCATTTTTGGGTGAACTAACCCTTCAAGTTACCAGAATATGATTAAGCATAAGGCCTTTACTCACAATTTCTACCTGATAATATGTTTGGCACAAGTAGAAAAAGTACATTCATGAAATGTATAAAAATGACCATGGAATTTATTCATTTATATGAAAAATCCAGGTCAGAAATCTCACTTTTATAATTATTAAAAGAAAACAATTGTTGATGGGGTGAATTAAAATAAATATAGATTTTTTTTTAGTTTATATTAATTCTTGTTTTGTCTTTATTTTAAATGAGGTCATCTTGGGGCACCCTTAAACATTTGCTGAGTCCCCCTAGTGGCCCCTGACCCCCCAGTTGAGAATCCCTTGTCTAAATGCCTATGCGTATTGATTTAGAGAGAAAAAAGTAAGATTATTGTCCTCTAGAGGGAGACAGAGATTACAATATTATCATAATAGTAACAGACTGTTTTTTTAAAGACATTCTCAAATATTTGTAATGAATTATGTTATCTCTCATCAAACTATGAAATTAAACTATTATTAACATTATCAGTGTGTCAGTAAAATCAACAAAAACAAAAAGACGAAAAACAAATATGGCTAATCCTCATGCACAAAAACCAATAATCAAAAATCATTAAGGACATCATGAAACTAAGTCATAAGGAAGGAAATCGATCTGATGTTCAGTGTCCTGTGAGGTTTGCAGTGTAATCCTGGCGATTGACTGTTGGATTTTGTGGCTGGGGGGCAGTAAGTATGTGATAAGGGTGGAATCCTTCCTGCTATCTGAAGTGATGAGAGACAAATGGCAGGATCCCTCAGTCAACACAGGGAGAGACAAGCCCTGCAGTTCACAGACTAAATTTAACGAGTGTAGACAAGCTATAAATAATCCAGGGAGAGAGACCATGAGAGTCAGCCACAAAAGCCCAACACAAGTGTGTTTCTGAGCCCTGGATCTGTGGGCTGGGAAAAAGAGTTAACACATCTTTAAAGAAAATTACAGACGATAAGGGCATAAGGAATCAAAGCTTCAGTGATCTTTTAAAATAAAAAAAATAAAAAAGTACTATGAACACATACTAACTTCCAAAACTCTATTTATTCCCCAGTGAAAACAAGAGCATGAAACTTAAGCTGCTAAAATGACTTGTTCTATTCTTTTACATTTTACCAACATCATTCAGATTATGACCATCATTCAGAATACATTTACAAACATGACCAGTGTTGGGCAGTAACTAGTTACAGTAATAATATTACTTTTTTGCAGTAACTACTAGTAGTAGTGTAACTAATTACTATTAAAAGAAAACAATTGTTGATGGGGTGAATTAAAATAAATATAGATTTTTTTTTAGTTTATATTAATTCTTGTTTTGTCTTTATTTTAAATGAGGTCATCTTGGGGCACCCTTAAACATTTGCTGAGTCCCCCTAGTGGCCCCTGACCCCCCAGTTGAGAATCCCTTGTCTAAATGCCTATGCGTATTGATTTAGAGAGAAAAAAGTAAGATTATTGTCCTCTAGAGGGAGACAGAGATTACAATATTATCATAATAGTAACAGACTGTTTTTTTAAAGACATTCTCAAATATTTGTAATGAATTATGTTATCTCTCATCAAACTATGAAATTAAACTATTATTAACATTATCAGTGTGTCAGTAAAATCAACAAAAACAAAAAGACGAAAAACAAATATGGCTAATCCTCATGCACAAAAACCAATAATCAAAAATCATTAAGGACATCATGAAACTAAGTCATAAGGAAGGAAATCGATCTGATGTTCAGTGTCCTGTGAGGTTTGCAGTGTAATCCTGGCGATTGACTGTTGGATTTTGTGGCTGGGGGGCAGTAAGTATGTGATAAGGGTGGAATCCTTCCTGCTATCTGAAGTGATGAGAGACAAATGGCAGGATCCCTCAGTCAACACAGGGAGAGACAAGCCCTGCAGTTCACAGACTAAATTTAACGAGTGTAGACAAGCTATAAATAATCCAGGGAGAGAGACCATGAGAGTCAGCCACAAAAGCCCAACACAAGTGTGTTTCTGAGCCCTGGATCTGTGGGCTGGGAAAAAGAGTTAACACATCTTTAAAGAAAATTACAGACGATAAGGGCATAAGGAATCAAAGCTTCAGTGATCTTTTAAAATAAAAAAAATAAAAAAGTACTATGAACACATACTAACTTCCAAAACTCTATTTATTCCCCAGTGAAAACAAGAGCATGAAACTTAAGCTGCTAAAATGACTTGTTCTATTCTTTTACATTTTACCAACATCATTCAGATTATGACCATCATTCAGAATACATTTACAAACATGACCAGTGTTGGGCAGTAACTAGTTACAGTAATAATATTACTTTTTTGCAGTAACTACTAGTAGTAGTGTAACTAATTACTATTAAGATTTCAGTAATAATATTACAGTTACCATCCATAAAACAGCCTGTTACTTAGTTACTTTTGATGCCTCAATCCCTACTGATTTGAAATCCAATAATTCCTAGATTTAATTTTCATAATTTTCACAACTTGCACAGGCACATGAAGTCACTAGTGCATCAGGAAAGCTTGGAATATGGAAAAGCTTACATTCAGGGGATGGAAATATTGCTTTTGTCAGGAGAAAAGGTGATCTGAACACTGATGGGTAAGTTTTGGCATTACTTTGCCCACCCACATCCCTCTGATCTCAATATAAAGTATATTACTATAATTAAAAATCGTATGAACTTATGTGATTTCTTTTGATAAAATACTTCATGAAACATAATCATATATGGGTAACAGAGAAATTATAGCTACTTATAAATTACTTTTGAAAGGAGTAACTAGTAACGAGTAATAAATAAAATTTTTGGAGTAAAGAGCCCAACACTGAACATGACCAACTATTTTTGCACATTTAAACCCATCACCCCTGTACAATGCAATGCAAGCTTTAAAAAGAGGCTGCTACTGAAGAATGTGAACATTAAAAACTATATTGGACCCAACGGTCTGGTTTCACATGCACAGGGGCTGTTTGCACTCTTAATGGCACAGCAGCAAATAATGACCCTTTGAGTTCTAAGAGTCAGAGAGATGGTCTTATGATTTGAACTTATGATTGTTTAGGGCACAAAAATAAATATTTGGTTACACTTTACTTGAAGGGGTGTGCATAAGACTGACATGACACCTACATAATCATGACATTACACATGTCGTGAATATGAAGGGTTTTTATGCATGTTTATGACAACTGTCATTAAGTGTCATTCGCTCAGTTATGTAATTTTTAATGCAAAGATGACATTGTTTGAGATGTCTTTGTTATGGGCTATGGTTAGGGGTAGGGTTAGGTCAAATAATGTCATATTTGCATTAAAAATGACATAACTGAGCGAATGACACTTAATGACAGTTGTCATAAACATGCATAAAACCTCCTTCATATTCATGACATGTGTCATGTCATGATTATGAAGGTGTCATGTCAGCCTTATGCACACCCCTTCAAGTAAAGTGTTACCAAATATTTTAGTGGACCCAAAAGACCACTATTAAAATCACATGATGAAATTGAGACACAGCGACATTGTTTTTCCATGACCCAATATTTTTCCTGAATTGAGCTTTAGATGAGATTAGTAGAAATCTGAGAAATTAATGATTGATCCAAACCCTGACTGATACACACTTACGATACTTACCTCACCGATCTCTTCCTTATAGAGGCAGAAGTGGACGTTGCTCATCAAACTCTCTTCACACTTGATGGCCTCAGTAATCCATTCAACGCTTCCTCTCTCCAATTTATCCAGTTTCTCCTGTAACTGCTGCACTGACAACACCAGCAGACGCTTGGAGCATAAAGAAAGGGTTAAATAGAGAAGAATGGTCATTTATGGAACTTGTTTCATACTGTTTCTATCAAAGCAACAAGGATCAGTATGTATTTATGCATGAAGAAGTAAGAAATGATCAACATGATGGTTCTACAGGTGCTGTTCACATTATTTTGTGTAAAGAAAGTTGTCAGGTTCAGGTAAGGAAATCCAAAGAATGCCTGAAATCTTTTGAAGATAATGAGGGCATGCAATATTTTTAAGTAACTGACACACCGACTGCTGCACAGTGCTGGTGAGATCTGCACCCAGCGAGAGAGCGAGCTTGTATAGATGGCGAATGTGCCTCTGCCTCTCTTGGTGTTGGGTCAACTGAGTCCTGGCCTGGCTGGTGTCACTGAACACAGTCACTGGTTCTGCATGTAATACAGTATCCAGCTTTAAAAAAAAAAAGAATCAAATTGCTTATTAAGCAACAACTTTCAGAATATAATATAATATAATATAATATATAATATAGAAAGAATAATTATTAAATAATAATAACATTAAGAAACTATTCACCATTTCTATTTGTCTACAAAATCTAAAAATAAATTAATTACATAAAATTAAAAATATTATTTTTTAGCTCTACAAGGTAGTTGAGATCGAGAAAAACAGTTAACAATTATCCAGCAAGTTTCCACTCATTCAGTACTTTTTAAAACAACTGTATCCAATTATTAAATAATGATGATGATGGTGATTATTAATAATACTATTACTAGTGTTTAGTCACAATTTATACTTGTTAGGATACAACTCGTGACATTGGCTAAATGAATGAACACGGTCTGCACAGCTGTTATCTAGAGAATGAGTAGTGGCTTTGAAAATGCTTTTATTTTTAAGCCCTCACTATTTAATTCTCATAATCCTATTATTTCTCATAATTCATTAGAATGAGTAGGTGGCTGACTTTTAACAGTGCATATTAATTCTGGTTTTGAAATCCATTACAATCTCTTGTCAAATGATTTTTTTAAAGTGTTCTGACAGAAATGGGACTTTACCTCTTGATAAAGCTGATGAAATTTACCGGCCATACTGAGAACGGTTTCATACTCCCTGATTTTATCTCTGGCACGCTGATGTAGCTGCAGGAGCTCAGAAACTCTCTCGTTCTTCTCTTTTACCGGTATTCCCTTCAAGCTGAGCAGCTCAGATGTCTTAACCAGGAATTCCACTTCTGCATTCAGTTGCTATGAAGTTTTTAAAATTGAGCTTAGTTGTATAGACAACAAATCATAAGCGATAATGAAATCAAATGATTTTTCTTACCAGGAATTCTGGCTTTACAGTTTTGAAGTTCTCCTGTAGTTTAGACACAGCCTGAGAATCACCCCCCAAATCAACCTTTGATGCTGGAGCAAAAATCTCCTCCATTGCCCTTAAATCATGAAGAACCTGCAGGCAATTAACAAACAAGTTGAGGGCACTTCAAATGTATCAATAGCTTATCAGGTTTATCAATAAGATTTTGTTGGAAGATATAAAATTACAGTTTTTTTTAAATGCTTTAATAATTATTTAAAATAATACGGAGCATTTCACAAATCATTTTTACTTTCCATAATCTGATGTATTTCTGAGAGAAATCAAAAGTTACCTTTTTTAGTTGATCCTTAATTTTTTTCCATTGCTTCTTTACAGATTTGATCTGACTATAATGCAATTGCCAGGATGTCCACAAGTCTGCTAGTTCAGATTTATTCTTGGTCAGTGTCTCCATATATTTTTCTACAACATGCTCTGCTGCTTTAACGTTTAGATTCAGGTTGCCACTGATCTGCAATAAAAAAATAAGGATTTAAAAGTTTTAAACCCCAAGACTTGTAAAGACTACTAGTTGTAAGTTTGCGTTAAAATGCTTTACAAAGTTTCTTACCATGTTAGAGGAGTTAATAAAATTGTTGCCCAGGTCCTGCATGGTGAAAAACTTCTGCAGCAATGACTGCCACTTAGCATCTAACATATCCTTCATGGATGCACCTGCTCCTTCATTTTCCTCCTCTTCCTCTGGCCTGTTCTTGTAGCATTCCTGAAGTGTCCTTATTTGCTCCTCAACCTGTGCCACCACACAAAATGTCATCATTAGAATATAGGTTTTAGTCTAATTGGATACCTCAATACTATAAATATATGTTATAAACATAACCATACCTCATCTGCACAGCGCAGAAAGTCCACATAGGGTCTGAGACTTTCCACATGTGATGAAATGTTTCTAACAAGTGTTTTCATCTCCTCTGCAAGAAGTGAAGCTTTGTTAGACAACTCGACTGTATCTGAGGATTCCAGCCCCTTTAGTTCCTTTACAAAACCAGCTATATCCTCTGATTCTCTCACAGCATCCTGCAGAAAAAAAAGCACCATTCAGAGAAAGACCTGATTACTATGAGAAGATCTTCATAGCACTTAGTATGAAATGGTAAAATAACAACTCGCTTTGAACTTTCCGTATCATATTGTATTCTCGGTCTAGGTAAGCATTAAGTCACCTGAGACTGTGAGAGTAGCTCAACATGCTTGTTAAGGGTGCCCTCAGCCTCAGTTAGAGATGAACCAGGCTCTGTACTAGAAGAGAGGACACTGTTGCTGCTTTTAATCCAAGCAGATACCTGTGGGGATTCAGGAGTTTGAAATGAATAATAATGAGGAAATATATGCACTTCTTGACAAGCTACAACTTTACGGCAGATTTATCAGCATATAAGAAATAATCTAATGATGCATTTACATTTTAGGTTAATTTTTAGGAAAATATGTACATGTTAAATCAATTTTGTTTTTTTACTGCATAAATAAAGATATTTATTTATTTTCAATACATTTTTGCATGTTTAATCAGCATAAAGGCTTGAGCAAATAAAGCATCCATGGGGTCCCATGATGTTTGAATACTTTGCATAAATTATTTAATTGAGTTATTGTTATTATTATTAGTAGTAGTAATAGTAGTAGTATTGGGTGGAGAAATGTTCAATGAAATATTAAAATTTGATGTGTTATTTAATTAGCATGATTAAAAAGTAAAAATAATAAGAAAATAATAATAATAAATGATTGCATTTATTTATTTTTAATCAGGATAAATAAGAATAGCAAATAGCAGTAGCAATCACAAAGAAAATACTTTACTTAATTTACATTATTTAATTATAATTATTATTAATTTGCCCATAAAAATTGACATTTCATGACATTCACCCTCAATTATTATCACCCTCATTTATTATTAGAATTATTATTAGATCTAGATATCAACTACATGCAGAGATTGCCACAAATTTGACCTTTTCCACTAGTTCTTCAAATGAAGCCACCAGCTGCTGCCTTTTGCCTGTTAACTCTCTGTGGGCGTGACACTCATGGCTCAGAACCTCTATTCTCTCTTTGATGTATCCCAGCATCCTTTGCAGCCCTCCACCTTGGGCCCTAACAAACAAACAAACACACATGCCCTATGGATGCCTGACACTGCACAGAACATCCCAATCCTTATCAATCCACTGAAAACCTGGAGTCTGGATATCTGCTGTGATATAGGCTCTATTTTTTACCACACTGTAGCATCTGCTCTTTGTCTTCTCACCTTTGTGGGTCGAGCTTTTGAATTAACAGCTGACCTCTCTGAAGAGGCTCAGCGGATGTGTCTTTTATATGCCGTGAAAACTCTTCATGTTTCCTAGCCAGTGCAGGTAATGGCAGAGGTTGATTCTTCAGTTCCTTTATAGCAATCTCTATGGTGCCCAGCATCTCAAATGCCTGGGGACCAAAATAAAAAATAAAAATAAAGATGTAATTTAATCCTGTGTTTTTAATGCACAAATGCAGATGACTAATGTTTGAGTCAATATTTGAAAGCATTATGACCAACATAAAAACATAGTGTTACTTCGAATTTCAATGCATTTTCTAATCATTATCATCATTTATATATATATATATATATATATATATATATATATATATATATATATATATATATATATATAAAATAAAACTCAAAAAATACATATCAAATTGCTGAGAGAACCCAAATGGCAAATTAATCATTTGGGTTGGATATAAATTGATGTCATGACTAAACAGCTCTATATCACTGTATGCAACACACTCCATGAATCACTCACATTATACATCTCCACTAGGGGGTACTACCTTCAACGACAAAAAAACTAATGACACACAAATCTCTAGAATGTGGTCAGAAGAAATATAGCCGCTGAAATGTTTACCAAGAGTTAGGGCTCTATCAGCTCAGTTATCCAAACCTCAACTTAGTCAAAGCATGTGAAGTGCTACTACATTACATACTTTATTAGCACTGCTGTAAAAGGCATTGCTCTCCTTCAGATGAGCCAGACGATTCATCATGAGGCTCCAGAACTGCTCGTGCGTAGCTTTGAGCTTTTCACTCTTCTCTGACAAGTGCTGAAGTTGTGTGGACTCATTTGAGGAAAGCAGATCTGACGCCTGCTGTAACAACCTCTCGACCAGCACACCCCACTCCTGAAGAAGTATAATAATAAATAAAAAAAAGATTATGATTGTGTTGTAATATTGTAAGGTATTTCTATGAGGGTATAAGACTTTCTCAGACTTGCAGTAATGTGCTGTGGTTAAACTTAAAGGGATAGTTCACTGTCATTAATTACTCACCCTCATGTCGTTTCAAACCCGTAAGATCTTCGTTCATCTTCGGAACACAAATGAAGATATTTTTGATGGAATCTGAGAGCTGTCTGACCATGCATAGACAGCAATACAACTGAAATGTTCCCAAGTCCAGAAACGTGACACAGCTGACACAGAACAGCATACGCTGCTTATGTCCAGCTGATACTCTCCAAAATGGAGCTAAGGTGACGCGGAGGAGACGAATTGTTGAATAAAGTTGTTTTTTTTCTTTTCTTTTGCGCACAAAAATTATTCTCGTAGCTTCGTAAAATTACAGTTGAACCCCTGATGTCACATGGATTATTTTACAGATCTCCTTGCTACGTTTCTGGACTTGGGAACATTTCAGTTGCATTGCTGTCTATGCAGGGTCAGACAGCTCTCAGATTCCATCAAAAATATCTTAATTTGTGTTCTGAAGATGAACGAAAGTCTTATGGGTTTGAAATGACACGAGGGTGAGTAATTAATGACAGAATTTTCATTTTTGGGTGAACTAACCCTTTAAGCACTTTATTATAACCTGATTATTTTCACAATAGCACTAAGATTAACAGAAATAGAGATCTAATGTTACTGTCACTGCTGCTCAATGAGAGAATGAGAATTAGCTTACACGATGGTTCCAACTTAAAGTTAAATTTTAAAAGCTATATAATACCATACACATTTCTGTAATTATATTTATGAGTTTTTCAAGTTATGTAGCAGTCCATAATGCTTGAGCCCAAATGCCAATATCCACTCAAGCCCAAAAACTGAAATAATTTTCAATTGATCCATATGCTCACTTAATCATAATATTTTTACAAAGAAAACTAATTAGATTTTCATCTTGAAAAATGAGAGTTGAATATGTTATTCAATATATAGGTATTTTATCAGTTCATTAAAAAGTCTAGCAATCTTTTACCTTGGCTTTCTGTTCAAACTCTTTGTATTCACGTAACAAGTCCTCATTTTCCGACAGAGATGAACCCAGCTGACTGTTTTCCAGAAACAAAGTAGCCTTTTCCTTAAACCACTGTGTTACCTGTTTAAAAGCACATATGACACAGTTTTAAAATGCAACAGGATCTAAAAGTGTGAGACCTCAAGAGAAAATGATTCTACTAATCAGCATAACAATATAAGCTAAAAATAAAAATAAACATTTTATTATTTGGTATGTACTTAATGACAAACACTCAATCTGACATGCATTAAACCTAATGGTCATGCTCCAAAACCTCCAATGGAAGCAAAAACATCTGACTGTCAGGCCTTTTTTCTTAATTGTTTTTCTTATACCTGGAAAGAGTTTATCTTCTTCTTTTAACATTATACATTTATTTCCAGGTTTAATGAAATAAATAATGATTCAATTAAAATATCTCTTAGCTGAATAATAAAAATAAGTCATTTACAGATATTATTCACAGTGATTTAAAAAAGTATATTAGCAGTAACAACATTTAATAATATTTTAAATTTAACATTGTTATTCAAAGCATTAGTGCCCTTTAATGAAAGCAGTAAGTGGGTTTTCCACAGGGATCATATCAAACACAAGCATGTACCCTGTCCCCCTCTCAGCATGTTAAGTATGCTGGCCAGTTATTTTAGTTCAGCATTTTTAAAAAGGCAGCCGGTCATCAGTGTGTTTTTGCAGAGTGCCTTTGAGCATGCTTGAATAATCTTTACCATGTGAGAGTTTGGACAATCTAATGTGAATACACAAAAGCAGCTATATTCTTCATATTGTATTTAATTACCAAGCTATTCAATACAAAAATGGCAGTGAAAATGTTTTTCCCTGAATTTTCAGCAGCAAAACTACATTTTCAGCAGCCATTAATCCAGTGTTCAGTGTCACACGATCCTTGAGAAATCATTCTAATACACTGACTTGGTGTTTAAGAAACATTGTTTTTTATTATTATCAATGTTGAAAACAGTTCTGCTTAACATTTTTGATGATTTTTTTTTCAGGATTCTTTGATGAATAGAAACTTCAAAAGAACAGCATTTATCTGAAATAGAAAATGTTTGTAACATTATAAATGTCTTCACAACTCCATTTAATGTGTCCTACTGAATAAAGTATTAATTTTTCAAAACAAAAAAGGAAAGAAAATTCTTACAGACCCTAAACATTTAAATGGTAGTGTACTAAAACTGGTGCAACTGATGCCATATCCATTGTTTATTTATTTTTTAAAAGGACTTTACTTAAGACACAGCACATCCATTTTCTATAATAAATGACTTTTTCTCTGCTAGAGAGACTTACCTCCTGTTCCTGTCTCTCCCATTGTCGAATCCGGTAGATCATTTCCAGCTCATGCTGTTGTTGTCTCATGCAAAGGTCCACTTGCCGGCGTCTGTCCTGCAGAATCTCCATTAAACCTTCCACCTTTCCAAAGCTGCTCCAGGCCCCGTGAGAAGCTCTGCCATACTGCAGGGCTTGCAGGGACTGGAAGTCCTTCAAAAATTCCAGCAACTCGCGACTCTTATTCAACACCAGCATTGACTTCTCCAACATCTCTGAGGATAGAGCACAAGCTTCGTAATACATTGGTGTGTTTTAGTCTACACAGTGTTTATGGCAGATAACAAAAAACTCTATTCACACACATATTTGAAAGATATTTTGTGGCGAGAAATCCAAACATTCCTGACATGAGATCCCAAAGGCCAATCTGAGAACAATTCCTCTTGATTCATTAGGTTTATATCTGCATGGCTCCTAGGCCGTAACACAGTCTCATTATAGCATTACTTGTCTGCCAAAGCCCCCAGTAGAGATTTTGCTTTTTGGCAGGTGCTTGGGTGCTGCTAAGGGGTTCCAGGGCATCATAAGCCGGTTGTGAGTTTGTTACAAGGGTGTTCAGAATGGATGCTTTGGAATGACAGACAGAATTAGGAAATAAAGCGCTTACCTCTTCTAATAGTGCTGTGTCTTTGAAGCAGTTCATCCGTGTTGTCTGCAGTGATTAATTTCTGGCCAACACTCTGAAAGTCTTCAGCTTCATCTATCCTAATGGCAAACTGTAATTGAAAAAGTTTTAAAAGCAGCTGAAAAAAAACTGGTAAGATTGAGAGGCAAGTATAAATTGCAAAAAAAAAAAAAAAACTGGCCAGATGAACATATTCATCTAAATTTCAAAAAGGCTGCATTTATTTGATCAAAAATACACACACGCACAAAATATTACAAGGAAAAAAACTGCTTAAATCATATTTTAAAATGTAATTTATTCCAGAAAAGCTCGTATTTTTCTGGAAAATTTCTTTACTGTCACTTTTGATCAATTTAATGCATCATTGCTGAATAAAAATATATATATATATATATATATATATATATATATATATATATATATATATATATATATATATATATTAAAGTTTACTGACCCCAAACATTTCAATGGTAGTGTAAATAGTTTCAAAATAAGAACATAATATCAAAGTGTAACAGAAATTGTATGCAACAACAAACGTGCGAACTGTGTAGGCCGATACGTGAACAAATGACTCTTACAAGCTATTTTTTTCATCTCTCTCTAAAAGACTTGAGTCAATGTAAATTGTTAAATTCCTTTTGATTCTCTGAGAAAAATTGATATCTGAGATCTGGAATGTTACATTTCTTTCAGCATCTGCTCGGAAACACTGTGTGCAGCAACCTTGATAGCAGCAACCTTCAACAGATGAATGCAGTGTCCGCTCTACATACATCATCATAACAGTAATTGAGTGGGAAGCATGTCTGTTGAAATGTTATCAGCAAAACAAATATTGCATACATGAATTTGCATTTTAAAGCAAAGCCAATAACGACCCTTATTTTTACGCAGAAAACAAGCAGTTGTAAATGTGAACTGGTGGATCTACAAGAAGATAATAAATTATAAAACTCTAAAGATATAGCCTACACTAAGATATATTTATGTTACTACATGAATGTAATTGTTTGATTATAATTATTTAAATTAATATAAAAATTATATAATGAAAAAAAAACGTTATTTTTGACTCCGCCCCTCCCGTATTTTGGTACCCAAATGTTGACAGGTATGATATTGTTCTGAAACATACTCATGCTTGAGTTTATTTGCATGTTTTCTGCTGCTGTCAAAACAGCAGCATGTGACCTTGATGATGAGCCATCTTCTTTTATCTAGAATATCTAACTGAAGCAGATATGAAAGTAATGTGTCTGACTTGCTTCATAATGCTGAAGATAAACGGAAACAGCTGTTCACTGTAAAAAACAGAACAAATACACAACATTGCATGTTCAGTCAGTATCAAATAGCACCATGTTTCCCAACTTTAAAGCTGTAAAAACAAAAAACTGTTTTGTTCAGTACACAGTGTAGCACACTCCCCGTGGCACGTCTAACTATCAGAGGCAAAACTTTATTATTTATTTATTTATTGTATGTTTCCTTTTAAATAGTTTTTAAAAGCCACTGGTTATGAAAATAATTATGTTAATGTTTGGAAAATGTTTTAAAATTATAACAATGGGCTTTTAAAGTTAGAAAAATGCACTGGTGTTATGTACAGTGGCCTCTAAAGGTACTTGAATGCTTAAGCCACACTTTACATTTTCTGCTTCTACTGCCTTGGCTGGTTTTAGATGGTTTCATGCACTTTTTCTAGATTATTATTGTCATTTACTATTATTTAATTTAAAAAAATCTAATAAAAGAACAATTTATTAAAAAAAAAAAAAAAGCCTAGCACAAACAATTCTCAAGCAAAATTATAACAATGGCCTTTTAAAATTACAAAAATTCACTGCTGTTATTCACATTGGCCCCTGAAGGTACTTGAATACATACTTTTCTGTGCATTTTCTGCTTTAAAAAAATAAATAAAGCTGCTTTGCAGGACTTAGCTGATCTTGGCTAGTTTTAAATTGACTTTTTAGCTGGTCAGGGTGACCATCTTAAACCAGCAAAACCAGCTTTGTCTGAAAAAAACAAAAAACAGCCTATAAAAAAGCAAACATCACAAAAAAATTAAGTAAATCATGATAATAACAAACAAACAAGTAAATAAATAATACAAAAAATTAATTTCCATGGGAGAAATCCAGTCATTTCAATAAGAATCCACGAGATCAAGAATTATGTTTTTCATGGATTTTCCTCGTTGACAAACAGGAAGCTGCTTTCTCAATAGGAGGCTGCTTGCTTTTTTGTGGGAACAGTCTGCTGACTTTGTTTTAATTTTGCGCAGGAAAATGCAAAACAAAGTATTGAGACACTTTCTGATTAATGTGACAAACTATATGTGACCCTGAACCACAAAACCAGTCTTAAGTGTCAATTTTTCAAAATTGAGATTTATATATCATCTGAAAGCTGAATAAATACGCTTTCCATTGATGTATGGTTTATTAGGATCGGACAATATTTGGCCGAGATACAACTATTTGAAAATCTGGAATCTGAGGGTGCAAAAAAATCTAAATATTGAGAAAATCGCCTTTAAAGTTGTCCAAATGAAGTCCTTAGAGCAATGCATATTACTAATCAAAAATATGTTTACGGTAGGAAATTTACAAAATATCTTAATGGAACATGATCTTTACTTAATATACTAATGATTTTTGGCATAAAAGAAAAATCCATAATTTTGACCCATACAATGTGTTTTTGGCTATTGCTACAAATTTACCCGTGCTACTTATGACTGGTTTTGTGCTCCAGGGTCACATATACACCTGACCATGCTGTGTTTTGGTAGTTAAGCTACATTAAATGACTTTTTAGCCTGGGGAGGGTGTTTTGAATTCAGCATGTTTTTACAATACCAGAAGATAAATGACATTCCTCACGATAAGGCATTAAACAACTGTCATTTTCCTACAGCGAGTCTCTGATGGTTCAAGTACTTCGGCAGGTTCTATAGGAAACAACATTACCTCCAGAGCACACTCAAAGAAATGGCATGCCAAGATCAGGAGTGATCTCCTCTTTTCCAGGTGGGCCACCAGTGTTTTCCAAGCCTCGCTGAGAGAGACCGCCATGGCCTTGTAAACCAGCTCCTCTCCTTCCTTCTGAGCTGCTGTTTTATCAGCCTCCTCCAGCAAAGCCCACACACCTCCTTCATTTTTCTGTGTAAAATTGAAATTCAATTAACAGACATAACACCGTGCCCTAGCATGTTAAGTGTACACAGCGCTTACTTTTATTTAAACTGTAAACAAGAAGCAGCTCCCATGCTGATTAGACACGTCTGGTGGGCAGATGCACATAAGTACATGATGAAATATTTGGTAATGTGCAATACATTTGAACTGTGGTAGAGGATTTTGTTCTGATTAAAGGCTGTACTCTGAGTCTGTATTTACTTTTGGTCAGATAGCAGCTCTGATGTTTTCCACTTTAAAATATAGCACGGAAATGCTTCTATAGCATATCATTGTGTGATTGAATCAATATTTTGAAGGCAGTTGAAAGAAGCCAGGAACTCTCCTTGTAAGGTCTGACAGCATCGCTTTGTGTCATATGTCTGATGTAACGGCAGCTTTTTGGATCTGGCAATATAAAAGTGTACAAAATGTGTAACATCTGTTATTAATTCCTCTTCATTCAATTTTCTATTTCTACCCTGCAAATATCTTTATAATTCAACTTCAAAACATTCATCGTGAATGGAATCATCCCACTAAACAGAGCAGATTTATAACAATTGTATTTCAAAGACTCAAATGAAACGTTGAAGAACCTTGAAGTTAAACAGAGTGGTGGGTTTTAAAGAGGCATTAAAGTTCAGGAGCTATAATGATGCCTCCAACAACAGCACCAAAAAAACATCTGTGGAAATCCCATAAATCATCTCATCATGGTTCTGTGAGATGGATATTGCACTTAATATGTAAAGCATACAACTATACAAATACATGCTAGCCAAAAGTTTGAAAACAGCTCCTATTTTTCACTTTATAAAGGATAAAATAAAACAGAATAAAAGTAATCAACACTACAAAATTACACAACTAAAGTTTAGGAATGATCAAAACTTTACTATATTTTAGCTTCTTTTAAATTCCCCAGCATTTGTCTAAATTCCCTTCTCTCATGAAACTTTATGAGGTGCAATACTTAATGAGTTCACATATACTATTGGATGCACTCTGGTGTAACTCATCATAAATAAATAAATAAATAAAAACATAAAAAATAAATTTTGAACACTTCTGTTCAAAAGCTTGGGACTGCAAGTTTTATTGTTTTTGAAAAACCAAGATTTTTAAACGGTAATATTGGGAAATATTATTACAATTTAAAATAACTGTTTTCTATTTTAAAATATTTTAAAATCTAATTCATTCCTGTGATGGCAAAGATTAATTGACATCCATCATTCCAATCTTCAGTGTCACATGATCCTTCAGAAATCATTCTAATGTGCTGGTTTTGTGCTAAAAAAAACTCTTACTGATATAAATGATTCACAAGCAATTTATATTTGTCTACAAAACTAATTTAAAGCATTTCAGAATAAGCTTTAAAGTAAAAAAGAAAAAAAAAGGATTTATAGATCACGTGTGTCCAAACGTTTGTCTGGTACTGTACATAAGCTACTACTATACGGTACTATAAGCTATTGAGCTTTAAGATCAAAACATTTTTATTTTGCATTGGTACAGTAGAGATTACCTTAAGTTTGGCAAGGAGCTGCTCATGTTCCTCTAGAAGCTTTTTGGTCTCATCCTGGTTGTTTCCAATCTCCAGCAGGTTGGGTTGTGCTTCAGTCAGTTGTAGATGCACCAGCTCGCCACACTTAAAAAAAAAAAAACCACACACACAAACAAACAAACAAACACACACACACACACACACACACACACACGCAATCCACACACCCGAGAACTTGTTAATGTATAGCTGTGCTTCTGCACATGCACCTCTTGTATATTTTATCCAGCCTCAAGTGCATTTCACGGACTGTAAACAAGACTGAAAAAAAGGTCCCCCACTGGCCCCTGGCCAAAGAGCACTTCGATTTCAATGCAAAGCTCCCTCAGTGAATTCTCATCCGATCAATTGCAAGTCCCAATGCAAACTTTGGCATGCAAATTGTGCTGATCTTAAAATCGCATTGCGATTTGCAAGTACGGGAAGAGCCATTCTGAGAGTGAATGAAATGTGGAGCTGCCACAGCTGCCATGTTTGTTAAACAACTGCAAAAAATACAGTTTAAGGTATGTGGACTGATGGCTAATTATCATTTCAGTATACATTAAGGCTGCTTACAGGGTCTGTTGCAGGCATCTGGTGGTTTTTAATACTAACATGCATTAACTGCTTTGTGTATGAAGAACCAGCCATATAAACAAAGAAAGAGGTGAATACTAAACCTAAAATCAATGATGTCAAACCTACAACACATATATAGGAGTAATATGTGTATAAAAATGAGATTTGATAGCTCTGGTGGAGGGAAGATTGTCAGTAAATAACTTAAATTCACTGTTGCCTCCTGTCAAATGACTTACGAACACTTGGAGGATTGGAAGCATTGTATACTTTTATGGAACTTTTCAGAGCCTAAGACATTAGGCTAGAAACAACATTAGGAGTGTATAGGAGAAGTAAAAAAAACCCGGCAGATTTTTCATTTTGGGCTGAACTATTCCTTGAAACAACAGCAGAAGCAAGCGTACATTAGACAATAACAGAATTCTTAAACCTAGACATGAGGATGACTGGTCACAGAGAATCATTATGAATAATTCAGGCCATGAGGAGTTTGGACCATCACAGAGCTCTGTGTTTTTCTCACAGCTGTTTTTGTCTCCACATTAAGTCACTGCATCAGGCATTATGGAATATTCACATTCCATGGAATCCTCTCACAGAAAAACAATAAGGTTTTGTTGATAGCCAAAGCCAAGTGTCTGTTGAATAACTTGAGGTGTGTGCCCATAACATCACTGGTGAGAGCAGTTTGCTCCCACGTTTGTAGCGGTGCTTTTGGATAAAGCAATGAAGATCTCACTGTGAGTTCAACATTGCATGCAGCCGTACAGTTTTATTCATTCAAAGATATTATCAAGAAAGAAATAGTTCACCCTTAAAATGAAAATTCAGTCCCAGTCCAAAAGAGCAGCTAGGCAGTGTTGTTATTGTTAAACTAAAACTATTAAAAATCTGTCATTGTTTTTGGTTGTCAAATATATAAATGCAAATTAAAAATACATTTTATATACATATAAATAAAATACAAATATTAGATGGAAAATGAAATTTGAAAAGCTGCCTTGGCAACTAACTGAAATAAGCTGAATGAATGTATTTGTACTAAAATTTCTTAAACTATTAAAAATCATTTTAGTAACTGAATAAATATAAATAATCATGAAATAAAATAGAATATTAGATTAAAAAAACGCTTAAAATGAAAAAAATTAAATGTTGCTTTGGCAACTTATTGGAAATGCTTCAATTGAAGTATTAAAATGACTAATACTAAAACTGGAATAAAAGGCTTAATAGAAAAACAAAGATTACAAAAGCACATACAATTACTAAAATTCAAGTGACAACTGAAAATATAAAAATAAAAGCTAAAACTTAAATAAATACTATAATAATAATACTACAATAACACTGCAGCTGGGACATTCTGCTAAATTTCTTCTTTTGTGTTCCACAGAAGAACAACATGGAGGTGACTAAATTACTTTTATATTTGAGAATTTTATTACAAGAAAAAAAGGTACAAAAGTTGTCACTGGGGCGGTACCTTTTCAAAAGGCACACCTTTGTACCTAAAGAGTCCATATTGGTACCTTAAAGGTACATATTAGTACCTAAAAGGTACAAAAGTGTACCTTTTGATAGGGTACCGCCCCAGTGACAGTTTTTGTACCTTTTTTTTCTGAGAGTGTACAAGTCAACCTCAATCACCAAAGAATGTTCCGATTAACTGCACGGTAACGCAACTGAAATAATTAAAACTGTATATACTACATTTCCAGTGACAAACATTCAGTTCATATGTTCAGACTACATAAAGCTTTGCACTGTAAAGCAGAATAGTTCAAATTCAATTACCTTCAGCACTGCTACAACAATCTGCGAGTCTCCAGCCTGTACAGCTACTGTGCTGATTGTTGTTGTGGAAGGCTGACCTCCAGCATCACCTTCACTGGACATTCTCCCGTCAAGTCCACACGTCCAAGAACCAGAAAGGTCAGAACAAAGCTTAGTACACACAGGTTCTTGCTGTAATCCAAATCTCCCCTTTTCAAAAGTCCACAACTGTCCCGACAGGTGGCTAAACCCAAACAGAGGGAAGTCCTCTTGGGTTTTTAAAGTGACACAGCCCACGTCCACATCAAAGATCCACTTGCACTGCCGGTAAACTCTTTAACCCTTCAAAGGTCCTTCAGCATTGCTGGGCTCTTGCAGGCTCCACCGGGGACCACTAGCCTGAATGAACATTATGGTGCAAATACAGCTGTCTATGTTGACAGGTCAGAGAGAGGCATGTTAAAAATAGAAATGTCCACTAAGTTTATCACACTGTGCAGAGAGCCATTTGACACACCCCCTGTTTGGTTGCTTTGGCGAGTCTGTTGCTCTCTCCCCTCCCCTTGCTTGTCTGTCTCACCAGCTAACCTTTGCTTTTCATCACAATAGAGCATATTGGAAACAATTATACACTTAGAGAAATAGCTCACCATTTAGCTATTATTTAGTAATTTAGTCTCATGTCAAAATGACAAAAAAAGCACATAGTCGATTCAAGTACCACAGGTGCATCTCAATAAATTAGAATGTCGTGGAAAAGTAAATTTATTTCAGTAATTCAACTCAATTTGTTAAACTTTGGTTATTTTAATTGTGATGATTTATGTACAGTAAATGAACATACTTTCCAGAAGGCCAACAATTCACTAAAAATGTTTTTTTTTATTGGTCTTATGAAGTATTCTAATTTGTTGAGATAGTGAATTGGTGGGTTTTTGTTAAATGTGAGCCAAAATCATCACAATTAAATGAACCAAAGACTTAAACTACTTCAGTCTGTGTGCATTGAATTTATTTAATACACGAGTTTCACAATTTGAGTTGAATTATTGAAATAAATGAACTTTTCCATGACATTCTAATTTATTGAGATGCACATAAATCATGACTGAAAAGTACTAAAAGTCACTGTAAAAATCATGCATCTGCTCTAGCTTTCTCTGATGCTTTGAGGAGCAAAGCAATATCTTATTCTTAAACAATTTAATTCTAGTCAAATCTCTTCAATGATCCAATTCACAAAACCTGTCTAGATGATTCACTCACAAATGAGACTGATCAGATTTTCATCATCTGACTGATGCAACTCACTGAAGGATATACGGCTTCAAAACACTTTGAATATAGCACAAAAGCTGTCAAAATTTTCTTAGTGATCAAAACAGGCTTATTTCAAAAACATTAAGGCTGCATTTATTTTATCATGACTGTTTTCTATTTTCAATATATTTGAAAATTTTATTTATTCCTGTGATGGCAAAGCTATATTTTCAGCATCATTACGCCAGTCTTCAGTGTCACATGATCCATCAGAAATCATTCTAATATACTGATTTGGTGCTCAAGGCTAAACTAACGTATCTTATTATCAATGTTGTGCTGCTTAATATTTTTGTGGAAACAGAGATACTTTTTTTGTTCCACAAAGTCATAGAAGTTTTGAACAATTTGAGGGAAAAGAAATGACTGAACGTTCATTTCTGAGTGAACGAATCCTATCAGATTATTTCCACTGAAACTATGCTTTGTCATTAAATTAAATGGTAAGAAATGACAGAAAGGCATTGTCAGTGTGCCCTGCACAGCATCTTTCCATGTTTAAAATGATAATGGAAGATGCCTGTTCTGTCCTTAAATGCATGTTCCAAACCACAGACCACCGGAAAGCCACATTACGTTCCTTCCTATTAAATGTAATGGCTACTAAATTATTCAAATAACTACTTTTAGAAATCCCTTATATTTCTTTCTAACACTTTATTCCACCGAAGAACAACAATGTGCAACTACAATAGGGAGATGCATAAAATAAGGGATGGATACACAATCACAACAATCAAGTATTTCTGAGATGTGCAATATTTATGTACCTACATGCTGTTCATACAGTTATTTAGTATAGATTTATGCAAATGCACAATAATACGAACACAGTAACATTGCAAGCAATTTAAAATAAATCAACAAATAAAAGGTCATTTGAAGGTGGCAGATTTTAATGTGTATCAGTCAACCACAGCATAATGGACTTAAAAGGCCAGAGAGACTCTCTGATGGTGACCAGTCCCAAGAGAAACAGTTCCTAAACCCTTAAAGGAATAGTTCAACCAAAAATGAAAATTTACTCTCATGTTGTTCCAAACCTGTATCCATTTCTTTCTTCCGCAGAACATTCAATTATGAATATTTTGAGAAACGTCTCGGTGTGAACAATGGACATCAATGGCCACCAAAGCAGTTTGGTTACCAATGTTCGTCAAAAGCTCTTCTGTTATGTTCCACAGAGAAAAGTCAAAGAGCTTTGGAATGACAATGAAGAGTAATTTAATTTTTTTTATTAAACTGATCTAATCATCAAAGAAAAACAATGTGTTACAGTGCCCACAAAAACATTCAGCAGCCCAATTGTTTTCAGCACTGATAATGATAAGAAATATTTCTTAAGCAACAAATCAGCATATTAGAATGATTTCTGAAGGACCATGTGAATCTGAAGACCGAAAAATGGCTGGTGAAAATTCATTTTTGCCACCAAATTATTTTAAATTGCAATATTTCACAATATTACTGTTTTTACTGTATTTTTTGATCAAATAAAAGCAGCATTGATGCACAAGAGACTTCTTTCAAAAACATTAACACAAACTTACCAACCCCAAACTTTTGAACAGTAGTATATTTCAGTGATATGCGTCAGATACTGTAATATGGGCATTTTATACTGTATAAAATGATACAGATACTGTAATATGGGCATTCCTAAAATAAAAATCACTTGTGACCACCGTGTAACAGTGGAAAAAGTTCCCTTTAGATCAGCATCACACCACATATACTTACTGCTGCAGTAATGTTGTCTTTTCCATTTAGGACAATAGTGTCTGCAGAACATCCTGAGGTCCTCCTATGGGGTCTTCCTATCAAAGCCTGATGGAGGAAATGTTTGAGATAAAGTGGGGAAATTTATAACAACAGGGCAGCATTGGAAGAGCAATTCAGCTTTGCATTTTACATTAAATAATCAATCAGCATTTTACACAGATGATTTTACAATGTAGGACACCAGTTACAGTGAACATGGTGAGGACTGTAGACACAATATTTCATCTTTGAAGATCATTGTGAGCTTTTTGGTAAAACAGAAAGAAAAAAATCTACAGGCTCTGTACAGAACTGACAAAAATATGTATTATAATACCCTTTATTAAACAGGGTTTCCATGAGTGAATTACTATGACCATGTGATTTCCAGTATAAGACTTGTTTTTTTATTATTCAATCAAATTTAGACTTAAGTGAAGAAATCCACTGCAACGACTGGGAACTGTTTAAAAGGTTGGCAGTTAAAAACTACTATAAAGATTTCCAGGAAATTGCCACATAAGGTCTGTCTTTTTCCACTGTTCCAGACATCCCAGCAGTCCTCTCAAAACCAGCACAGAGGCGGCAGCTGCTGAGACAGCTGAAAAATCCAACAGATTTTTAGAGAGCACCAACGGGCAGTGCAGAACTGAGAAGGGCCCTGTGGCCCCGGACGACACCCATGCCATCTGTCAGGGACCTTGATAAACTCAAGTTTATTATTAGACAGAACTCTGATTCTCAGGCCAGTCATCACAAAACTCTGTGACTAAGCTTTCAGGAAACATGACACCCTAATATAAAAATAAGACCTTTTGCATCTTTATGAAATTAGAATATAAAGATGAATGTTGAGTTTTCACAGGAATTTTATTTTTTGCTGTGATGCCTAAAACTCTAAGAACATGACTTAAAATTATTGACATTAATATTGCAATAAAAAAAAACATTTTTTAACATTTATGAGGTGAAATGTGACCAAAACAAGTTTTGGACAGGTTTAGTGAGATCAAATCAATGTCCAATTACGTCAATGATTTCCAATACAAACTAAGTGGAACATTTAGAACCTGTAAATAACCAGAAAGCAAGAGTTTGAGATGAGCCTCTTAAGTCTGGAGTAAAACATTGATGCAGTATTAAATATTCAGTACATAAATATCTTAACCTCGTCTAAAATGATACAAAATTGACAAAGACTTTCTCCTGAAACGCCGCACAGGGCAGAGAGAATGTAAGCAAATAGCAAAGCCTCGGGCAACTAACGACCCGCCTGACTTATGCACTTACAGCCTGGCATCTTGGGAAGTTATAAGAAACCATTAATACAAAAACAAGTAAGAGGTTCATGCAATATGCATGAAGATTTTTGAAAAATATTTTTACTGCACAAACCAGTCAGCAGCCACCCCCCCCCCCAAAAAAAAAACCTATCAAAGTATCCTGAAAAAAAGTCATGGTTTCCACAAAAACAATTTCAACATTGATAATAAAGAAATGCTTCTTGACATTCTTGCATGACATCTGCATATAAGAATGATTTCTGAAGAATCTGAATAATTTTAATATTTCAGTTTTTACTGCATCTTTGATCAAATAAATACAGCCTTGATGAACATGAGACTTCTTTCAAAACTTAAAAAAAAAAAAATCTTACTGTCCTCAAAGTATGCATAAATGCACAATAACTAAATACAGCTAATTATTTGGCAAGGCACTGACAAAAATCAAGAAACACAATATTGCCCATGTTTATTGAAGGGTGCATTTATGCAAAGCATACATACAGTAACAAAGTCCTGTAAACTGTAACAACCTGCCAGCTTCATGACGTCGTAAAAGAGACAGCCTTTCCTCTCCTGACTTATGGCGAAATTTTTTTTTCTTCATTTTATACAACTTATATTTTCATAAAATACACTATAGCTTTTAAAAATGGCAAAAGCATCATACAGTTTAAATGGTACGCAAGGTACAAAAAAAAAAGGAAAATAAATATGGAATTAATATTTTATGACATGCATCCATATGCAAGCAGCGTACGCATTAGACTGACAATTTATGAGATGAAACATCGTTCCATGTCATATTTTACTGTCAAAACAAAGCTCTAAACATCGATTCTACATTGGAACTTAAAGCTTTGCTTTGTTTATACCTTCATGTTTGAACTACAACAGCTTCAGTTTCTGATGTGCTGTCATGTCCTGTTC